ATACCACAGCTATGCTTGTCAATAGCCCATATTCAGCTCCTCCTGCACTCTACCAGAAAGGATGAATATGATTTTTACTTATTACATCTCTGTGGTAGAGCAACAGACTTCCAGTGCACAGGTTGCTATCTGGATCTTACACTAACAGCTACAATCTCCTCCATGCAAAGCCAAAGTCAGGCTTCAGAAGGACAGATGCAGCTGGTACCTGGCTGACCAGCAGTGTGAAAAAGCAGCACGGCCATGGGCTGGAGTGTGCCCCCCAGAAACAAGGTGCAGGGATGCAAAATGCCAGCAAAGGAGGGGTTGGAATTATTCTGAGGTGGGTTTACTTTATAAAATGTTGTTCGGATGCAAGAAGTGAAATAATCCGTGGGGGAAGAAGTCCTTCCCATTCATTTCTCCATCATCCCATCCCAGCAGTTACATTGCACAGAATCACAGAATGGTTTGGGTTGGAAGGGACCCTTGGAGATCATCTTGTCCAAACCCCCTGCCAAGGCAGGGCCACCTACAGCAGGTCACACAGGAACATGTCCAGATGAGTTCTGAATGTCTCCAGAGAGGGAGACTCCACAACCCCCGGGCAGCCTGTTCCAGTGCTCTGCCACCCTCAGTGTACCCCTCTTCCTCACGTTGAGGTGAAACTTCTGGCAGTTCAGTTTATGGCCATTGTTCCTCATTGGGCTTGTCTCCCATACACTGACTTACTGGAGGGAGTTTGTGAACCAGTGTCACCGTTTCGCAAACCAGCACCCATGCCAAGATTCCCAGAGACTGCGAAGCAAGAGCTTTGCCCCAGTGTAGTTGGGATGTACAACCCTCCCTGCAAGAACCGGACATGCTCCCCTGGGCCCAAGGGATGCTGCCCCACGACCTGGGACCACGTTTTGCACATGATTCGGCAAGCTCCTGATGGGCACAGCACGTCTTGGGGTCTGCTCGCTCAAACACAGCGCTTTGTCCTGAGTGGGCCCTCCGGCTCCCCCCGTTCCACAGCCGGCCGTGCGCCCGTGTCCTGCGGGCACCCTGGTCTCCTGCCATGTGTCGGCAGAAGCTCGGGGTGTCCGCTCTGTCCCCGGGGACGTGGCACCGACACTGCCGGGCCCGCCGCCAGCTCTGCCTGAGGCCGCTCGGGCCAGCCCGCACCAGCCGGACAGAGGCCGCCGTGCTCCTCGGGCGCCGCCTCGCGTCCTGGCCCGGCACTGCCGCCACAGGGCGGGTGCCAGGAGCTCCGCGCCGGCCCTCCAGCCCCAGCCCGGGGCCCGTTGTCAGTGCAGGGGGTAAGCGGGGCGGGCAGGAGGGCCCGCAGGAGAGGCAGTCGGACAGGCCGCTCGACCGGTGCCCGCTGCACCCAGCTTCTCCGGAAGCACCAGCACAGGCAGCACCAGCCTGTGGAAGGGGTATGCTCTGAGACTTTGTGACCAGTTGTTGCTCGAAAGTGCTCAGGCTCTTAAAACACCGTGGCAGAGAGCCTTCGGTGTCTCAGACCCGAGGAACTGCGCTCACTTCAAGCAGAATTCCTGGGTGTTCATACATCAGCTCCAGGCCTTACCTGAATATAGCTCTGGCAGTGCATCTCACCACAGACTTCGTGCAGTACCATTCGCCCCTTCCCACGCTGCATCACTTCATTGAACCCACACAGGAGTCAGTGGTACCATGAGATGTTCCATCTTCAGAGACAAAATCATCCTATATATTATGGTCAGCAGCAGTGCACTCTAACAGACAAGGTGCTATTACTTGCCAAGCAGGGAAACAAAAGAAAAGTAACAAAGCCCTTCAGGTATAGGTGACTTTGTATTTGCCTCTTATTTAATTTTACCTCCATAGAAAGCTTCATGTGTAACCTAGCCACCTCCTTCCAGCATCCCCCAAACTCCCCTCCACATTCACAAGGGAACCGCAGTCAAGTTTCTTTGGTACAGGGATAGTTATACTGTGGCACTCCTTCATAGGTCCATGCATTAAGAAAAGCCAGACTTTCCTTTATCCAGGCCAGCAGGTTAAGTGACTTGCAGCAGTGCTCCTCAGCAGCGCTTTGCACCACCTGGGCTTGTGTGCCTGTCCTCAGATGCAGCCGCTGGGAGGATGCTGGTATATCTCTCTACAACCCCAGGAGCGCACACACTCAGTTTTCTTGCCCAGCCACCACAACCAGCTCAACTTGTCTCTTCAGTCAGATTCACCTCCCATCACTGCTCCCACTGGGTCCTCAGTGCCCGACAGCAGCATGATGCAAAGCAGCCTCCAAGAGTGGCAGGGAAGAAAAAGACTTGTTCCATTGACTACAGTGCCTCTGGGGTTGCCATCACAAGCCAAGATCATAGGAGTTACAGCCTGGCAGCAATTTCATTTCTACAACATACCTATCACACAAGGAAGATGTCACCAACATGCACCGCTTAAAGAGAAAAATAATAATGAAGATAGACTATTACCTTTTTCTATCCATACTTTATTGCAGGTATACATATAATTATTTATATTTTATTTTAACAAGAAATTCCTTTCATGGAAAGGAGAAACTTTTACCATTAAAATAGAGTGATTATACCATGAGTATTTTACAAATATGTACAAATATTGGCAGCTAGTTTCTAACATCAGCTAATAAATGCTTACACTTTACCCTCTACCAAACTAATCCAAAATGAAAATAGCAAGAGACCTTCTAAAGCTAAACAAAAAATAGACCTATTACTAGCAGGAACAGGGTGGTTTTGTTGTTTGTTGTTTTTTTTTTTATATGAATACAAAAACTTGCATAATAGATATTCACAGTGCTTGTACGATATTCATTCATTATCAGTCTATACACAAAAGTGTCCAGTCTCCCCTTCATAAGCATATGTAACTTGCAGTTCTGGAGGAAGCTGCATAAACCACCGAGAGAAGACAGTCAGACCTGGAGAGTTTGCCTTCCCCATCAGCCATGAATAAATACAAGAAACCGTTATGTACATACAAGGCAGTGGATGCTCATGCAAGAGCCAATTACACTGGTTTTGGGCACTGGTATGCTTTACAACCAGTAACAGCAGGATTACAGGTGGATTTCACCAAATCCATTGAGTGCTTAGTAACTGCAACAAGAAACTACCAATCTGATATTGTGGCAATCACCACTTCAGTAAGGTGGTTAGGCTGAAGCAGGTATGAACGTGATTGTCTTTTGAGACAAGTGTGCACAGATGGGAGCATATGGTGCACAAGCATGTTTTATGACATTTTTCCAAACAGCTATACCCACTAAATTTTGAGCTTCTTTCCTGCTAACAGCCATTGCCACAACCACAAGTAACTGTACGTCTGCATGGTTGGAGAGCAAGTTTAGCAGACTGGCGCTCCAGACCCCCCACCTTTCCCTTGGACAGACAGGCATCACTGCTGTAAAAACCATAGCTCTAGCTCTGTGATGCTGCAAAACCAAGGCTGCTCCCTGCAGCACAGCCCCAGGCCTCCTGGATCCCCATTGTGCCTGTCTCCCATGGCCGATGGCCAAACAGGGCCCAGCTAACAGGGAGCAACCAGCAGCAGGATGCTGGACTAGAGTGTTTGTCCATTTAGATCCATTTAGGAGAGTTTTTTTTGGATGAAGTAAATACACCTCAGGTACTCTGTAAAGGCATTTTGGCTTTGCTTAGAATAAAAGAAGTTATGGTGAATACACAGCTCCTAATTATTCATTACAAAAAGGAAGAGTAGTGTGATCAAAGAGGTCACAGTCAAATAAATCATGACTATGGTGAGCTTGTGCTCATCATTCATTCCTCAAACACACAGCATGGGTTTGGTGCCAGATTCATCTCAAGTGATGTACAACCACAGATGCCACTTCAGTAAATGCAGATGCACCTGCACACTGTCTCTATACCTCAACTCACTTGGATAGACACAGCAAGATGAAAAAATTCACAGATCTGCTATTTTAATAAGTTATGGGAACACAATTAGGCCTGCAAGCCCGCTGTCAAAGCAGCAGCTCCAACCCTCCTCACTGTGGTCTGGCTTCCTTCCTTTCATGAATCTGGCTATCTTCAGCTTTTGAGTGATGGACACTGCACAACACACACTTCCTCAACCAGAACCAGTATCAGTCTGTTTCTAGAGTTTGCAAAAAAAATTATTAGCTTCCACCTGCAAGGTTGTCAAAACCTGGGCACAGATTGCACGTGCCTGTAAGTACAAGCTTCCCAATGCTGGGAATTTATATGGGGAGGAGGTACTGGGGGAAGGCAGGGAAGGAAATCAAATGAACATAGGCTTATTTGGATGTAACAAGGTAGCAGAACGCTTTCCACACCAAATGCTTCCATCAAATGGCATAATTACCATTATTTTCCTGGCGAGAGCCAGCACAGCCAGCTCCACCACTCAAAAATCACCAAACAAGAACCCTTTGTTTGACACACAAACACCCTATGCTTCCACCACTGCCAGCCCTGCAGCACCACATGCTCATTTGCATGACCTATCCATGACTAAGTAGGACACAGTCACTCTGTCTGTCCTTCCAAAGTGACTTTTCTCTGGTCCGTACTTGCCTCCTAAGCAGAGGGAAAGATTTCTAAGGAACAGATTTATTAAAAACAAATAAAGGAACAACATTAAAGTATGATTCAGTGTTAAGGGGTGATCATGCCTGGGCAAATTCTCCAGTCACACTCCTGTCCTCAAGAGCCAGTCAATTAACTTGGCTGCTTCTGAGAGCACAGAAGACAAGTCACTTGTTGTATTCCCTGCCACATCTCCCCAAAGATATAAGCATTTATTTACCAATCTGCATCACAGCAGTAGTAGTAAACAGCTGAGAGACAGTTCACTTTGTTGCATTAAAGAAAAAAGGAAAAAAAGAACACACAATGGATTTGGCTGGATGCTTACACTGAAACAAAAGAAAGAGGAAAAAAAAGAAAGAAGAACTTCTGGCAGTGCAGGTCTTGCTCCCAGTAAAGCAAACAGGCAACTTGTGTTCATTACAACAGCAAATACATGGCCCTTCAAATGTGCTCAGAGAATATCCTGGCCTGACAGCTGTTGGCAGTGGTGTAGCAGCACAAACTAGACAATGCTAGTGTACAGATAGTTTGGTTAACTTAAGTGAACCACAAAAGAAAGGCAGGAAGATAAACTGACACAGACTTTAAATTTCTTTCTGATAAATCCATTTAAGACACAGTGTTTGCTTTACTAACTCAGTGCCAGTTTTGGTCCAGGGTTTTTTGGTTTTTATGTTGGTTTTGTGACTGCTAATGGTGCAGGCCACTTATATTTTCTGCTCAGACAGACACTTCAAATGCAAACATTAAGTGCTACACTCCAGTTGATTTGCCCTTTAGTCAGGTCTGCAGAAGTGATGCCACTTACTGATTATGGAGCTGAATAACAAAGCTGCTCACAATCTCCTGCAAGAACCAGAGTGACATCACATGTGTTAATGAGGTATATATTTCCATGACAAGCCGTTTCCTGGTTTGGAAGAGCTCCAATCTCATTACACCACAAATTCCTCTGGGAGCTGGTCTTCTCCAAGAAGATCCAAGGAGAGGCAGTTCATGGATCGCTTCCCATAAAGAGCAGACTTGGTTTTGCAGTCTGCTGTGGAATAAACGCAGCCATAGATAGACAACTTATCCTCCAGGCTGCAGCCAAATGTGTAGCTGTGGGACGTGTCTGAAGACAGCGTGGCACTTAGTGGTGGGTGCCGATGCTTGTAAAGGCGGATGTCATCCAAACTCTGGCTGTGCTGGTCTGTGCAGCTCCTGTTTTTGAGTGATCTGACCTGTCAGTTCAGTCACACACACAGGAATAAGACCGGTGAGCTCAGACACAGCCTAAGGTTGCTGGCTATGCATGCTACGAGTTTCCCCAGATTGTTCTTCTACTCCTTCAAAAGAGCCCCACCAGCCTGAAGGATGTTGGCTTAATGAAGAAGCTGTGAACCATTGAGAAATTACAAGTGCATTAAGCTGCCCTGCCACATTTAGCCAGATCCTGATCTGTCTGCAGTGTTCTCAGTGTCCAGTACAATGTACCAAATACTTGACAGGTATTGACACCTGACTGACCTGGTACTTCTTGGCAGATCCATGCAGTCATCCTCGAATAGAGGAAGTGCACATGACAAAAAATTACTCCAGCAGCAGTTGAACACACTGAGTTAGTGAAAATCTAATAGGCTCAAAGTTTCAAGAAGGTAACCATGCTAACTGGTAAGTGTCCAAAATGGTGTAACACCTAATGGTATTACGGTGTCCAAAATTAACTAAGTGTGACATACAGTTTCATCTACATAACTTTGCTTAGCAATGAAGAAAACAGGAGTGACATACCAACAGTAATTCCCAGAGGCAGCGTCTTACTACACAAGCTGTAGTGACTCAGCCTCTGTGGAGAAATTACTGACCGTTCCAGACATTTCCAACTTCCCCACCTGGCTTTTTTCTTACTCTGTCTCTTAATTATCAGCTTTTAAATGCTAACATTAGGGCTGATTTCAGGAGTGTAATTTTTAACCAAGATACTCCTGTTGGGAATACAGAAAACTTCCTCCCAGTATCACTTCTCTCACCTCCACGGGATGGGAATTAAAAACTACCCTGAGGAAATCCTGTGCTGGCTCAGCTGCGCTCCCAGAAACAGGCACATGCTGTATAGTCTAGTCAATGCCAAGGAAATCCAGTTCTGCAGCATGGCCTTGTAAGGAAGTTTGTGAGATTTTTGAAGTACAAAAGTAGCAGCCAGGTCTTTGCAATTCCTTAGACAGTCCTATGTTGATCAGAAACATTCTTACAAAACAGATGCCTCCTGATCAATTAACAGTACAAAGCATGTGCTCGTAAAAGCATTAACATCAAAAGCATTACTTTAAAGCAAAATGCCCGCTCCCTGCCTTGCATTCTGTGAGTCACTCCAGTCATACAGGAATGAGTTCATTAGGATTTGTCCAGCTTTGGAAAAAGAAGTTGAAAACCTAAACCATTCTTTTAGCAGATAAGGCTAATTTGGATTCAGAAAGGAAAGAAATGGTAGAGGCTTGGCTTTGGTTTTGTTTTTATCTACCCCAGTGGGTACAGCTATACTTTGAAAAGAAATATTGTTTGGCCTTAGAAAGGCATTTTAATAGACCTTTTCCAAGCACAACTATGATATAACATATTTTACCATATATAGTTGTCTTTTCTCAAGGGGTTGATGAAAAGAAAATGTTGACAACAAAGACTTAAGCACACGCATAGTATAATCACACAAATGATAGTAATTAGGAGCTTGAGCATCTGGTTTTGCTCTAATGCGAGCTCCTTTTGGCTTCAGGAACAGGAAGATTATCAAGTTTGCAATGCACATCCAAACTGTATGGATGTGTGGCTATGACTTGGCTCTATCTTGCACTGAAAATTTGGAAGTGGGTTATTTTCCATTTCCCATTTCTGGAAGGCAGACAGAGTTGAATTGCAAGATTTTCCCACCAATGGCTCCAAACCTCTCTATACTATTCTGGACGCAAAGGCTGCTCTCATCCTACTCCTAGTGAGCAGTAGCTGGCCAACAGCTGGTTTTGGCTACACCATTTAAAAATCAGTCAAATCCAGACCAGCTAAGGTCACCTGATTTACAGCTGTCTCGATTGGAGTAGACCTTGGTTCAATGCCCACACACAGACCCTCCTGCCGAGCACCCCCCTTACCTGGTGAAGGGATTCCACACTTTGGCCTCTCATTTTTATTAGCGTGACTTGCACCACAGACAACGATTCCTGATTTATAGCTACAAAGGAGAAGGAAGAAGTGAGAAGCATTGCAGATTTGAGGTTTTGTGGGCTGCAGAAAAGGGAAGTTGTTCTCACAGGCCACATTCAAGCAGTGCTGGCTTATAGGTATAAATATACATCAGTGAGCACCCTCAGCGCTCTGGAAGGTTTGCTCACAAGTACTCCTCTTTGCCCCCAGGGATTAATGTTTAAAAACCTCAAGAATACAGCATCTCATCAATGTGTCCCATATTCACCCATCTTGCTTTGCTATAAAGGCTGTGTGTCTTATAGCCAGACAGCTTCTGTGTGACTCCATTCTCTGTCATTCCCTGTATTATAAGCCACAGACCTTCACCTGTTCATCCCTGTGACTAGCCTGTTAATCTGCGGTTGAACACCTTGTCTGTTTTGTGGTATACAAGATTTTACAGCAAATTCTTTCATGACAAAAGGTTATCTGTTCATCATTAACAGAGTATAAACTTGGCAAATTTGGAGAAGGGAGACCTTGAGGAGGACAGAGGAGAGCAGCATAGTACAATACAGGGTGCTCGCTTTTAACTTCTAGATGAGCTGACTTCAAATGTTTCAGTAGGGCAATAAGTAGTAATGGCAGTAGTTTGGAAGAAGATACAGCTTTCTTACATCCCCTCAGTCTGGTGCTAAAGACTAAAGAAAAGCATTAAGCAGTAGCAGAAAGCCATCTCACCTTGGCAGCTAGCAGCATCTAGAGGAAGAGATTCAACAGATTCTCCCACAGTGGCCTCCTCTAACTGGTCTCCCTCTAAAGGCTCATCTACAGGCACCTCCTCTGGCTCATCTACTGCCAGCTCAAGCTCTAGGAGGAAGAGAGCAGCAGGAGAAGGGTTAGCATTACACTTCTGCTCCAAGCTGCTTCACATTCTCTTACTCCCTGTTTTCCTGCAGGAGTAGAAAAGAGCAGGTTTAGAAGTTGATCTGCATCTCCAAAGCCTTTACCATCATCCTGAGATTCATCTTCAGCCCGCCCTTTGCTGCCACTGTCAATGCCTGAGCTGCCGTAGCTGATGGTTGAGCTGCAGGATTTCTCTTTCCTGTGCACTCGGTCGATGCTGAAGGGCTCATCCACCGACATTTCCACTGACACCCGGTGCCTGGAGTCAGCCTCGATGCCTGATGTGTGGGAGCTGCCGTGACTCCCCGTGGATTGGCGCGAGAGGCGGTTGTCCCTCCGGCTGCCCCCACTGCTCCCGCTGCCACGCGAATTCTTATCGCACGGGTCTAGGTCCATGTCCAGTGTGTCACTGATATAGGACTCCCGGTAGCGCTTCTTCTCTGAGGAAGAAAGGTGAGAGAAGCCAGTGGGAATTTTAAGCAGGACTGATGGAAGAGTAGCAAAAACAACATGGACTGGGACAAACCAACCATTAAGAAACAGCTGCTGCAGCTACTGAACAGGTACAGGGACAGCTTTGTATTTTGCTTCCTCAGCAGATACTAGGATGCTCAGCTAGTTGTAAAAGAATTAGTGAGTCATGCTTGCAGTAAATCCAGCATCTCCTGAATTAGAACAGGCAGGTAGAGGCGGGAGCAGGGGGATTACTCAGCTAACCCAAGTGCTCAGTCTAAGAACAGAGTGCAATGATACCTTCTTGAAACAGTCAATAACGTGTGGAGATAGCCAAGAACAGGATCCCTGTGGCTGGCATTTATTAATGATTTATTAATTATTTTCCAATGGCTTGTATCAGTTACACACAGAGAGGTGTGCTGAGGGTGGTCAAGAAATCCATGAGACACTAGTAGACACAAACCAACCAAGGGCCTTTTGCACACACACTTGATTAGTGAGCCTTTCTACCAGCAACTGGCACATGCCACTGGTTGCACCCACACATCTCAAGGCCACTTCTATAACCCCACTGAAGAGAAAGACAAATAACCAAGCTAGACGAGACCAAGCACTGCCTTGCCCTATAGACTGATTCCAACCCAGCCAGTGATCACCACTTACACTCCTTAGAGCTGGCTGAGATGGGGAGTAACCAGAAATAAGTTTCCAACAAGAAACAAGTTACCTACTACTGCTCACTGACTTCTACTGACCTTGAGCATAACAACATAAGTCTTACAAACCCCAGTGAAGACAGAGACAGCATGAATGGAGAATGCAGGGAACAGCAGTTAGGAAAGAAGTAGGGCAAAAAAGGCATTCAGGAGAAGGCTAGAGGGAAAGGACACAATCCTCTAAAGAAAACCTATGCAATGTGTTAAAAACAGTCACCAGGTAGAGGCAGGCTGAGAAGTTGTAGGAGATCCAGCTTGCAGAGCTGGAAAATGGAACAGGGCGAGCTGGGAGGTAATGAAATGACTGAAGTTTGTCTGAAACGATACTAGGGACTGTCAGTTCACATCACTGTTGCTACAGAGGGGACCCCATCAGAAGAGACAAATTCTGGGAGTCCTGATCCGCTCTTGGGCTCTAGCACCTGCAACTCCTAGCTCTTAACTGTCAGACACTATAGACTAAATTGTGCACAGTCTTTAGTAAAGGGCACTAAAACATTAACACACAACTTGTACTGCTGCTTGAACGCAGTAAGATCTAATCCCAGTGGAAAGCTTTATATTCAAAATTACTTCCACTTAGAAACGTGTGTCAAATATGCACAAATTGGGAGCATAAAGAGCAAAGATCTCCTTACTTAAAGTAAGACATTACTCCTCTACTGCACTGACACTTTCTGACCAGAGTCTAGCAATGTGAGAACCATAAACACTTCCCAGTAATGGACTTGAAACATACCTAACACCTCTATTTCTCTCACTGACTTCCTGATAAGGCAGAAACACCATTAATTAGAGAGCAGCCAGCATGAAGCAACAGCAGAGCCTAACTCTTCCCCTTACCAAAGTCACCTACTCTTCCATCACATACCTTCAGCCTCCTCCAGTTTTTGGATTTGCTTCAGCACCGGCTGGATATTGAGAAAGAGGCGGTGGCTGTTGCTGAGGAGCTGCAGCAAGTGCCGTGACCTGAAGGGGCAACCCGTGTAGTAAACCAGTTTCCGTGCAGAGGGCAAACCATCTGGCTGGATCTCAAATTTTTTCCCCTGCATAAAGAGGAGAGATGCCTGTGAAATGAGCATGTTTCCAGCCACAAAGCTACCAGAGATAGCTGCAGTCTTGTGTGCATAAGTAACAGGACTTGACATGGCAGAGCGGGATTTGCCAGGTCCCAGGTTGACAGCCCATTGCCAGATGGCCTCTGCTCCGTCATACTCACCAGAAACGCCAGCTTCCCAATGTGTGACCAGGGAAAGTCGTAGAGGAGCTGTCGGACGTGGTTCACCTCCTGCAACACATCAAGCTCAGAGTGACACAGGGACTGGCAGGTACAGGGTGGAGTCAGCGATGTGCAAAGAATTTGCAAACAACCAAGAATGTGAGATATGTGGAGCCTGGTGCTCGCAGGGGAGGCAGAGGAGCCGTGGTTGGGGGGAGGACGGGGAGCTGGGCAGAGTTAATGCTACACCAGAAGGCTTTCACAGCAGTCTGTTACCTGATAGATGTGCATTCCTCTGAGGGTCAGGCCCAGGATAACTGTCGGGCGATCCTCCTTCTTATCCTGAAAGAATAGAAGAGCTCAGAGTAAAAGGTTAATCTACAAAGACCACACTCTCGTTCTAGCACCTACTGCAGGAGAGGTAGCAGGACTCCTCCATCAGGCAGATGCCATCAGCTCATTCGGTTTTTATTGTGTTTGTAAAAGGCACCTTGCCTTATTGACCCCTGAAATATCTACACCTAAAATCCCCTCTTGCTGGGCAACTCAAGCATTTCACCAGCAAACGAACACCCTGGCCAGGCAATCCAGCTTTAGTGATCTGAGAGCATGGACTCATCTGAGAGCATGACTGCACGGCTGCTCTCAGAGGTACCTTTTAACCTCTCACACTGCTGTGTGCAATTTTTGCTGTAACCATGAACATGCACCACTCACTCTGCAGGTGACAGGGAGCCCGAAACAGAAGGGACACATGTCCCCTTCTCCTTGCCACAGCACTGCTGCTCAAACCCAGGGACTTGCTGGACCTTAGGTGTCCCTTGGCAGGAAGAGGCCTAACCAATGCCCAGAGTTACAGAAACTTTATAACCTTTTGACCTCAGTGTTTGGAGCAGGTGAACTTAAATGCTTGCAGCTCGGCTGGAATACTGCTTTGTTTTTCCTCATACTGTATCTTGGTATGACATACTGTCTCTAATGAGATTCCTCTGCTTGAAGACTAAAAAAATATCATAAACCAGTTCTTTCAGTCCTTCCTGGCATGGCAGACTAAGGGAGGGGAACACATACTTTTCTTGCTAGGAGGAGGAAGAAAATCTTGGGGTAAAGATTCACGGGCTCACAGAACTCAAACTTGCTATCAAAATTTTCTCTCCTCATTTGGCATGTAAGATACAAGCCTCATGCTTGTATCATCCCATTACCTCCCCCTTTGCCCCAGTACCATCTACGTCTCCAGTCTGAAGTCATTAGGAAATGCTTTCTGCCTCCTAAGAGCTTTATAAATCAGTATTGGTCTGGAGGGGAGACATGGTGCTCAGTGCTGTGTTTTCCTTCAGAGTTCCCAACCTCAGTAGCAGGCATGAGGAGGGTGTTAAGACAAAAGTAACCGCTATTGAAATCTCAGGGCAGCCAGCACACCAACACACTCACCTGGCACCCCTGCATGTGACCCAGGTGTCACCTAGGAGGAGGAAATCTCCTCACAAGATGAGATGACTGTGTCACACAGCAGGAAGAAGAGCACATTGTAGATCAAACAACACATGAAGGAGTCAGCAATTAATAAAATATAAGTTCAAGTTGGACAGGAATTTGGATACTAAGAACAACCATTTCACAGCCCCGGTGCTTTCAGATACAAATTATATCCTGTCCTGCCAGGTGGATTTCTTATGGCATTCAAGTATAACCAAAAATCTTATGACTGCATCATTAGCAGTATTGGAATCAAAACAGTGAGGACAGAGGAAAGGTAGGGGGAGCATCTGCAGTTTGCAAGGAACTGAAACTGAGCCTGGACTGTAGACCTGGACTGTAGAACAAACTGGAACTTATTTCCTCCAGAAAAATCCTCCAGTAACCAGAACTGCTAGATCTGGTCAAAGGACGTGGTTACCTCCCAGACACAATTCCCACTGAGCACAACCAACCAAGATACTTAATTATGAGTCTGACAAAGTGGAGTATCTCCATTTGGAAAAAGAGATCCAAGGCATTCCTAATTGCATGAGCAGGTTTCACTCACTTTAAGGTGAACAGAAAACTAATTCTAGATCTAAACTCTCTCAGCATGTGAAAATGAAGCACATTCTGTTTAAGCCTGCTTAGGTAAGGAGTCTAAAACTCAGGGACAAACAACACAGGAATTCAAAAATTGACATACAGCTGAAAAAACACCAACCACTCTAACAGGGTTGGAGGCGTAAGGGAATAAGATAGTCAGGATGACTCAGCATCACCTCAGTTATTACATGGCATTTGTGTGAAAGCTGGCCAACCTTTTGTCACCATTTCAACTGACTGTACAACAACAAAAAAAGGCTTCTCTGTGATTCCCTGGTGCAAGTCTATTGACAGGCAGGGACAAAAATCAAGTTTTGCCATTCTGCTGCCAGTTTCTTGGCCAAGGAACAAAACTAGATTGCAGCTATACCTGTGTATAGACAACAGATTTGTTTGTGGGGACAGGCCTTGTAGGGCTGAAAGTTCTAGGCCTGTTTTGCAAGTTCAGTTGTGCACCCAATCAGCAATGGGAGGGAAGGTCAAAGTAAGAAGGAATTTGTTTAACCTTCTGCAGCCTGTAGAAGTGGACAGGCACATCTTCCAGCAGGCAGGACTCCTTAATGAACTTCAGCACTGCTTCCTTAGGGCTCAGCCCTTGCTGTTCTCGGTGCATCTCTGGGGCATGTTTCAAGATGTAGTCGCTCCCCCTCTTTGCAATTATCTAAACCGCAAGGAAAACAAACAGGTCAGCAACTCTTCAGCAATCCCCACAGGAGACAGCAAAGCAGAGACTGCAGATGGAGGAGATTCATACAGGCCCTCAAGATGTTAATCCACATTCACCTCTACCTCCCTGGAAGATAAGCATTTAAAGTAGATGGTACCAATGTCTCCAAACAGATCCTAGATGGCAAAATCGTAACAGACCAGGACTACAGAGGTCGTGTCAGCTCTTTTCATTTTAATTACTGGAATTAGCCTTTCTAACCCCTGGCATCCATAAATGCTTGTAGGCAGATAAAAAATATTGCTCTGCATGCCAACACAATCAACAGCAACATCTCTAAACACTGCAGAAATGCTAGGTGGTCCTTTTAAGACCAGAAACTACACATTACCTTGTTTAGCATTTCCATCCTCAAAGGGGTGGATAACACTATCTCAAGGTATTTTTTTATCTCTTAGGAGTAGCTAGCAGGCATGTGGCTTTGCTAAGCAGTAGAAAAACCCACACTGGGCCATTTGCTCTTTGCCTTGCAAGTGCCCAGTTTCCATGCTTGCCCACACGCCCTCTCCATAGAAGGCTACAAGGCAGCCTAGCCCCATCTCAAACCACAAGCAGCAGTAACAAACAAGAGGGGCATTGGCTGAATTCACTTCCTAAAATCCCTCACCAGTGGGGGCATATAAAACTGGATCCCACCGGATACCTGAGAACATCCTGCCAGGAACAACCTGCCTAGGCTCAAAACAACCAGACCCCATCACCACCTGGTTTATAGTAAGCCCCCTATTTACTCTGCTTGGTAACACCTCTGCCCTCCCCAGCATGCCTTGCCAGATGATTTTGGCCTCCCACGAGAAAGGCTGGGCTCGGTGGAGGACAACACTGATTCCATCAGCTGTGGATGTCAGCAGAAAGAGATGCACTAACACCACAGTTCAAAGTCAGGCTGATCACTCCAGGGCAGCACCACCTCTCCTCACCAGAACAAGCCTTGGGGCAGCTCTTGGCCAAACGATCTGAAGCACATGTTGGAGGAAGAGTTTGTGTTGGAAGAGGAGATCATTCAGTATCTCCCCATGGAAGCCCAGGGGCAGGGAGAGAAGCGTCCCCATGCCTGCCAGATTTTGCTCTTTGTAATGATGTAATAAATCACTCACATACCTCCTTGGGGTTGTGGCTCAGTGCAGGTGAGCCAGGATTTGCCTTGGCCTTTGCAGTGTTTGCCAGATGAGCAATAGTCTGTGGTAAGACTTTTAATGGCCCCAGAAGTGGCACAAATGAGACCCACCTTTTCCAGCCCTTTGTTAGCTACCTTCTTTCTGCCAGGCAACATATAACAAGGAACAGCAAGGGATGAAGGCTTCTTGCCTGGGAGAAAGGCTTATTTCTGCACAGCAAGGCAGGCAGGCTAGGACTCGTGCATGAAGGAGGCTCTACCAGCCCTGCCTCCCCAGCACAACTTCTGTCACTGCTCTCAACCTCTCCCCAAAGCAGGGGACAGTGCCACCTATCAAGGGAGGCACAGCTTGGTTGGGGACCAACTACCTGAGGCATCTGGGCTTGAAATCTGCTGTCACAGCAGAGAAGGGGGCTCCAGAGCTAAATCAGGTTGCAGAGAAGGTTCTGTCCAGGTCACAGGGAACATCCCACTCCACCAGACATCCTCAGACATTACAAGGATGTGCCTGTAGCAAAGCTAGCTTCCCCTTCTATTTTTATGGAAACTGAAGTGTTTATCAAGTTTCCTTGACACTTTCAGCTAGAGGTGAACTCTCTGTAGGTAACCAGCTCTGCCAGTGTCTTAGCTAATTTGCCTTCATTTGAGAACTAAACCAACTCTTAGATTTCTAAGTCTTAAAGATCACAGCCCATATGCACATGCTTATAAACAAACATGCAAACCCATTTCCAGGCTCTTCCCTTTTCTCTTACTGCAGTTGAGCTAGAGATTAATGACAAAGCAAGCACTAGAGGCTTTGCACAGCAGTATTACCCCTTAGAGTTTGGGTCTAACCATCCCATAGATTGGGACAAAGGGCAATGGACTTGGCTTTGAGGCACTAAGGTTTTCTGTAGAGCTTAGGTTGTGCAGATCTTGTGATGTACCACTGCAAACACACAACCCTTTGAGCCACAGAAGAATTAAATTAAGACAGCCACACTGTCAGAGTTCTCAATTGGGCACCAATACATTCCCTCACCAAGGAAGGTTACACACCACCCACCTCACTGATGAGTGAGCCCAGGAGAAATGGGCACCTACATCCAGTGGAAAGAGATGTCGTCTCCTGTGGGAATTCAGGGTGCCACTTTACCATTACGCCTGATCATTGCAGTGGGAGTTGTGGATATTGTGTGGCTGCAGTTAGGTACCACCTTGACATAGCTCCTGCTGCGCATACAGCCTGTTGACAGAAGGATGCCCTGAAACTCACCCATTGTGGGAAATAAGCCTGAGGTTCAAAATATTTGCCAGTGTGGACCTTCTCTCTGTAGTTGCCCAGGTCTGCCTGTAAGCTGTAGGCTGCCAGCAAGAAGTAGATTTCTTCTTTGTGGTTGCACCGAGACATCAGAACTTGCTCTTTGAGATGGCAGTAGTAGAGCTGCCGTGCCACCTTATCACTGCAAGACACAAAGGCAGATTTACTTGAAGCAGAAAGTTCAGGCTCAGACAAGGCCCCTTAAACACATCTGTTTTGGAGAAGAGGGGTTAAACTTTGACATCCCTGATGTGTGCTGATGCCACCCTGATATAGCTGTGCGTAGGGGGCACCAAGCCAAGATCAAGGTGTTCTCCCACTGAGTGTTGTACAAACATGGGAAATGGTAGCTCCTATCTTCCTGAGCATGAGATCTAAGAAGTTAGGGTAGGGGGTAGATGAAAGGAAATCACGTCACACCTGTTTTGGAGACTGACTACATCAAGCACTCTGTTTCTCTGGAAAGCCTGTAGCAATCAGGAGAGCCAACCACCTTGAATCCCAGTCCTGTTTCTTGCACACCTGTCCTCCTTTCCCCTCTAAACCCAGCACTGCTTTTTCATTTCACCTTGCCTTAGGCACAAGGCACTTTTCAACAGCTAATTCCTTGCAAGGTAGATCAAAAGACACTGGAGCCTTGGGCTTGTTTTTGTCTTCTTCCTCAAGCTGCTAAACAGGGATAGTCTGATAAGGCATAACTATCGCATAGCATTGATAACCCACACAGCCCCCACTGTAAGAGCTCATGGGAAGCAGGCTGCTGACATGCATGTACAGATGAGGTGCTGGACACTATGGTCTGGTTAGAAAAGTGTGTGTGTATAGTCTGAAGGGGCCATACAACTACCTCTGCATGGCTCCACAAACCTCTCCAATTAAATTACTAGTGCAAGACAAAGTTGTTTGTGATGCTAAAGGATATGTACGTCAGGGGTGGTAGAATGATATGCAATCTCCCTTTGTACCTGTAAGCAAAACTAAATAAAACACACCTAACAGCCAAACAGACTCCAGAAGAAAGACTCCCCTGTATCCAAAATGAAAGACTATGGAGAGAGAAAAAAACAAAAAAACCACCAAGCTTTGTTCAAGATGGGAACAAATGCCAAAAATTGGGTAAAGATTTTAATCCACCCAAATGATCCCAGCTCTTGGATTGCCCTGGGGTCACAGCAATGCCAGAAGTGCTGATGCAAATTAACTCTGTCACTTGTTCATTTTTAACTACCTCATCCTTTGTTCTGTACCAGGGGTGAGGGTGATGGTGTTTTGAGTGCAGCCCATATTCCATGTGAATAGACTGCAAATGCAAAACTTATGAAGTAATTTCTTTTGTCTGCTTACAGAAGTCCATTTCCAGGAACAGACTGCACAGAGCACTGCTCAGATACAAAAAACAGATTCAAAATTATTAGCACGTGTTCTGGAGTATTTTTGGTATATTCATCTGATGCTTTTCATACAACCAAAAGACGCAAGCAGAAGAGTATTAACTGTGTTTTGATACTGTCGTCATTCAACCTGCTCTCTAAACACAGATGGAAAAGCAGTCACTATTTTCATAGGGATAAGGAGTATGATTCAAGGGCAAAATATTCATGGCTGGGTGAGGAACTCTGTGACAGATAAAAAAAATAAAGCAAACCTTTTGGGCTTATTTCTGAGAGCTCACAGAGATGAGCTCAACAAATAAATGTTATTTTACTTGCCTCCTAAGGTAACAGTGACTAATTCAAAACACAGTAACTACCACAGAGGGGAACTTACCTTATTACTCTTCCATTTTCTACGTAGTATTGTACTCTAAAGAACGCAACAAAAGGAGGGCTGAATTTTTCTGTTCCCTAGAGCAGAGATAGAAGACAGATTAAGTAACATTCAGCATCCAAAATTCCTGTTACCCGTCTAGTAACTCCCTCTTCTCCTTAACTCCCTCTCTCCATACTGCTTTTCATTTTCTGCTTTTAGCTCTTGGCAAGTTTTAGGGAGGAGATCCAACTGTCTTGCAGGCTCACAACAGTGAGGCATCATAAAACATAAAACAGGCTGAATGGCAAAACATCCCAGGGAAGGTAGAAGGTTTTGGATGGGGGCAATGAAATAATAAATAACATAAAGGAGTCCCAGTGTAGCCTGGGGATGCCCAGCCTGGCCCAGAGTAACCCAGCTCAGCACCTGGCAGCACATTAGTGCTGAACGCAGCAGGTTGAACACAGCCTCCCTAGAGCACCAGGCAAGGCGGCAGGGCAGCGTGCCATGCTGGCACACCTAGGAGTAACCAGCTACCATTGTGCTGCACCACATCACTCAGCACGGACACACGCGCTGCTGCATGCAGCATCTACTGCCTCAGGCTCAGGTGCACCAGCCTGATATTAGCTCCTCGCCTGTTGTTTGGCAGGGCTAATGGTTAGTTATCCACACCTTCCTGCAGCCACAGACCAAAGGGAGACATTGATGTCTGCTTCACACTGAAGACGTCTGTTAGAAGAAAGCCAGCAGGAGTTCTGCTGTTGTTTTAACTCCAGCCTACCTTTCAGACTTAGAGGTTTGTTTAAACAGGAGAAAAATATATATATATATAAGGAGGGAAAAAAAGGAACAGCTTATGTTACTAGCTCATTCTCTCATCTTTCCTACTTTGCCACTCACTTCTTTAGTGTTCATACAGGTAACTTTTTTCACACAGCCAGTTTCAAGGTTTTGCTGGTCAGACCCATCTCGCTGGGACAAGGTATATGGCATGCTGTGCACATCTGATGTAGACAGCGACTTCTTGATCAAATATTTATATGTTATTTTTCTGGAACTTGTTCATAGTCACCCTATACTATCAGCTGGATGGGGCTTTCCCCCTGAAACCTCTTAATAGGAATTAAATCCCTGACTGCTAACCCAGTCCAACAGCCCAGCTCCTCTCAGACTTCAGTACTGTCAATGGTAACTCATCCAGCCTTTTACGATTCACCTTGCACCAGAGGTTTGACACTTGTCCTGACTTAAAAAGTGTTGCAAGAATCCAGCCTCAAAGCAACCACACAGCATGCCCCATTCTGAGGTGACCAGAGACACTTGCCTCAGAAAAACCTCACTGGCTGGACAGACAGCCCTCTGCATAACTGGTAGCTATCTTTGGAGTACCCCTCTTGTATTTGGGAGAAGCAGTGTGGGATAAGATCGATCTCCAAACCTCAACAGTCATCTGCAAAGTTCTCTAGGCAGCAGAAATGGCAAGTGAAAACCCTTAAGGAAGGTGGAAAAAATAATGATGAGCTAATTAAGATATTTGAATGTAATTGCACACTACACTGTGTTCTAGACTGTGGCTCCTCTAATAATGACACACACAAACAGGCACTATCATGTCTGAACGACCAGCACTAAACAATTACGTAGGCTTGTCTTTATTTCACACAGCTTTTCTCTCCCTTGACAGGCAGGGCTAGCCTTAAAGAATTAAAACTCTTCTCAAGCAAAATATCCTTCTTCTCACTGCACTGTCCTTCTGCACGTACTCTGGAAGAGTCACAGCTCCAGCCTCTTCCTCATACCAGGTTCAAGTCACAAAATGTCATTTAGGCTCTTCTGCTTAAGCACAATGAGATTTCCAGGCTCTTTTGTGGGCTCGGCTAAGTTCAAACGGAATACTGACCAAGTGACCTTCTCTACTCTTGTAGCAACTAAACAGCAATCATGCAGCTACTATTGCTCAGGTACAGTTGTGTAAGGGGCTGGTTTAGCTCTTTTAGTTGTATAGCCATGCACAAAACATTGCACCTTGCTACCAAACAGCATTCTGCAGGCCATCCTCAAGAAATGCTTTACGGACCTTAGCTTAAGAGCTTTAATTTCACTGTTTAGTCCAATACAAAAGCAGTAGCCTCCAAAAAAAAAAAAAAACAAAACAACAAACATTTGTCTTACTTTCGTGGTCTCTTTCTTCCATTCTTTTGAGAAGTATTTGCTAAGCTTCTGCTCCAGGTCTATAAAAACATATTCATTATCTGAAAGACAAGAGGAAAAGGAATTCAGTGTTAAAGAATTTCTAGTTCTTATTCATTAAGCACTTAGATGACTATACAAGTTGTTTCCAAGCAATGGACTGAAACAAAGCTGACTAGGGAATAGACAAGGCAGGGAAAAGAGAGGGCACCAAGTCTCTTCAGTATGTGTGCTGCCTGAGACAGTATGGAAGGAAGGTCAGCTACGCCTCAATTTGAGAGAGCAGAAGTTTGCCAAACACCCTCACCAGAAATGCCGAATTCCTACTTCATAAGGAAGAAGCCACTTACAGATGGGAAACATCACCTTACCAAGCTAATTGTACTGTCAGTTTTGCAGATTCAGGTTTTTATTATTATTATTATTATTATTATTTAACAAGTAATCCCTACCCAAACTTACACTCTGCCATCACATGTTGCCACAGCCCAACATGGCATAAGCAAGTTAAGAGTCAGGTATTTGACAGGTTTCATCCTCTGCATATGAACTGGGTCTTCCAAAATGGTGAGGAGGACAACGACCAAACCCAAATGTCCACTTCAGAAGGTCTGGCATCTCCTGCTCACTTCTTTCGTAGAGCAAAGAGATGAATAAAAGGAAGGGAAACCTGGCCTCTCACAAGACCAGGACTTGCTCTCCACCCAGGTAAGGGTGAACAAGAGACAGCCTGAACAGCACATTGCCTTCAAAGAGCTTTGTGCCGCTTTCAAACCCAATGCTTTGTTTAACTGCTTACCAATTATCAAATCCAAAATAACTCAGACAATAAAAGGTTTTTTCCAGTCTGCACAAGTCTCTTTAATAATAATTTTTAATAATGAATAAATAATAACAATAGTAAAACCTAATGGGTGTTTCAGGCTTTAGCAGCAATGCCAGCTGAGCATTCACTTGACCAGTCCCTCTACTCTTTGGTCTTGCCCAATAAAGTGCTTTGACAGGTGACAAAAGTACCAAGCTGAAGAGCTTGTTCCTTAGACATGAAAAGAGCAGGAAAAAGGAGGGAAAAAAAAAAACCAAAACAGGAAAACCCAAGGAGAAAAAAAGAACCCTTCACAAAACAACCTTCTGCCCCTGATGACCAGCCCTGACTTCCAACATGGGCTTCTGCTTTCTGATATCAAACCAAAAAAAATAATTAAAAAAAAATAAAAAGAGGGGGGGAGTACAGAGGTGAACTCTATTTAGTGGAGATTAAAGCCAAATGAGAGCCTGCACTTTTGTCTGTACAGCAGGTGAAGATCTGGTAGAGGCCACGGTTCCCGTTGCAGCAGGTGTTCAAGGGAGCTCTGAGCTACCTTACAGCAATACTCCCAGAGCATTCCAGTTCCTTACAGGGGCAGATACAGCAAATATTTCTTTTGCAAGCTTTTAAAAAACAAGCAAGCAAAACAACCCCCTATTGCCTCCTCCTTCAGTTCCCATCTCAAGTAAAAGAAACCACAAGGGTCCATACACCACATTAACAGGAAGCCTTACATAAAATACCAGTAACACTGGACAAAAATAAAGAGGACAATCCCCCAAAAGTCCCTTTTCTGTCTCTATGGTCTTCCTTGCATTGTACTGACTGCAGCTGTAGTTTTAATATAATCACACTTGTTTACCACATTGCTTGCTATGTTACATACATATACATACAACAGTACTTAACAGGAGTGTTGAAACTGTACAGAAATCCTGAAAAATTTAGTGGTGGGAATCTAAGTGCCATGGCACACAAGTGATATAGAAATTGCTTTGCTATTTTAACAAGGAGAGGAAGGTTTTAGCACCACAGAGACTACATCTTGTACCTGCCTTTTCACTTATGCCTGTGCAATTGAGCAGCTGGGGGCCTATGCTGGCCCCAGTCATTGATTCTCTAAATCCATTTGGATCAGATAACACTGCCTTAAGAAGGCTGACAGAAGCCCCAGTCAATGACAGAGATGGGTTTGGTGTATCTCTTGGACTTGTCTCTGCCCCTTGTCAGCTGTCAAGCTGATAAGCATCTCACTGTAAAGCTTTTTCTTAAAAAGTAAGTAAAAATCTCATTTAGGAAGTGACTGTACAGCAAGCAAGAGGAGTGGGATAACATAAGCACAGCACCCAATCCCTCCCTGGGCTTTGGCAGTCCCAGGGCAGGGGTACTTGTGCATGATAGGCTCCTGCAGTGGGACTGAGGCTGCTGCTCCTGGCACAGGAGTGTTGGGTAAAGCCTGTACTGGTCCTGCCAGCACCAGTGTTTAGCTGCCACCTTGTAAAGAGGGTAGGGTACCCACATGGCTGTACACGCTGAGGGGTCAGTTTTCCCTTCTTGCTCAGGAAATGATGGATACATATATACACAATGCATCAAGCCACAAGGGAAAGATGGCAACAGAAAGCGCAATGATATACCCTGAACCATCCCATCACACAAGGATATGGGGACAGAAAGGGGAAAAGGCTGACAGAGCAGTTACACCATAGTAAAGCCATTTGTTACCCACAGCCCCTATTTACCTCTGTCATGTTAATTAGATTACATGTGGCTCCTAGCAGGGCCCACATGCCAAGCCTGAGGTCTCCAGGTCACTATCATGCCTACTGAGAGGTTCACACAAACCCCCAGAATAAGCCAAGATGAAGGAGGAGGACAACCTGATGTATCAGCTCTCCCTGGGGGTCCTGCTCCTTCCCAGCCCAGCATCCTCCTCGCCCTTCCTCCCTCCCATGCAAGAACGCAGCACTGCATTCCTGCCTTAATGAAGTTAATATTGCTGGAATGTCAACCTGCAGCATAAGCCTCCATCTCCAAAAACAAAGAGATATTTCCCTCCCCAGCCTTATGTGGGTTGTGTTTTTTCTTTTCTCCCCTTAAACTGGATTAGCAGTGAAACTGCTATCTTTTGCCAGACACCAAAACTGTCTGTGGCTTGAAAACAGCACCTCTAACAGAGACGAGGGCACCAAATTCCAGCACTCCAGAGCAGTGCTGTAAAGGACTGCATAGAAATGCACAGATGGCTGCCTGCCCAGGGAAGAAGATGTCTGATCCGTGGATCAAAACAGTGCTGGATACTCAGCAGGTACAAACTGTCATTGCTTCACAGGCCTCAGCTGAAGGACAATGGAAAGGTAGTAAGAAGCTGGCTTACAAGTTACATGCAAATATGCACACGTCCACCTGCAGCTACTGACACTGCATTCATGAATCTTGTCTCAGCACTGTCAGTGAGCTTAAAAATATCATATCAGCTTCTCTTAAAAGGTTCCCTCATGTATGTGTGTACAGATACCAGATCTGGCACAACACACCCCTTCGTTGCACTGCATCTGGGTACCCGGCCAGTTTCCAGTAACATAATTTACTTTTAAAGAGATTTTAAGAGTCCTCAAATGAAATGTGGAGTTTATGCTGTAAAAATCTCACTTCAAATGAAGCACTCACCAGAAATGCAAACATTCAAGTGCTCCAGCTCTGCAAAACTAGCTCAGTACATTTACATATTTAAGCAAATATAGGACAAGCATTGTTGCGGAAAAATAATGGGCCAGGTCTCCAGTCAGAAAAAAGTGACACAGTTCCGGGGAATGATGTGGATTTACAATAGGAATTATTTACACTGCAGGGAAAATGGGGATAGAAAATTATGGCTGTAATACAGGGTCAAATAAATTCTGAATCAGTTAACTCTAAAAGCCAATGTTTTGCATTAACCAGTGCCTCCCCATTAATTTTTTTTATAAAAGGTAAGTTTCCCTGCAGAAAAAGTAAGTAATGGTGAATGCCAATAACCTGTTCTCCTCCTGTGCCCATTCTGGGCTAGGAGCACTGAGAAATTCCAGAGGGCGAACTCCTGTGCTACCAAGAGGCAGAGCTCAGGCCCCACTGGCAGCCAAGAACATCCCTTTAACTCCTTTGGTTGAGTCAAGTATATTTTAGTGTAACTATTTAGACAGTGCAGAAAATTAGGGTTCAAATAAAATATGAATTAGGGCAAAGCCAAACACAGCAAGCATTTTCTGCCTTAAAGGGGAAAACCCTCAGCACCTGGCTATAGCACTTAACTTCTCCTCACAACACACTGGGTAGACCTCACATAACCTGTTTAGCTTCCCCACATACCAGCATGGATTTTTTTGTTTGTATTGAAGAAGAGCTGACTATACACATGCATGTGGAGCTCCCCAAGTTTCCAAGGGCTGGGTTGGCCTGGGAACATCACCACGTCTACATAATCTCTTGATGCTCCTGGTGTTACCTTTCAAGCCAACAGAGAGAAACCTTGTCCATTTTTCAGTACCTGGCCGAGTAGTTTACTAAGGGATCAAGAAGAACTTGGTTCAGGTCATCAAGCAGGCTTGTGTGTTTAGTTTCAGCTGGAAAGCACATGTACACCAAGTGAAGAAGGAAAGAAACACAACAGAGACTGGGAGTAAAGCAAGGGAGGCCCTGACTGAGGTTGATTTACCTGGGATGGGCAGAATGTATATGGAGGAAAGAATGAAAGGAGGCAATATCAAGAAGCCCAAGGCTGTGTGGCTGTTAGTAACTGTTGAGGTCTGAAGACCAAGATAAAGGTTCAATCATTCCTGATGATGGATAGGTACTGCAGGAATTTTATGTTGGCATCTTACAGTTAGCAACAAGGCATGCCCAGGCACAGATCTTCAAACTTTTGGCATTGTCACAAGAGATTCTTCTGCACAAGCAGAGCTGCAGAACCATTTCCAGCACTGCTCATCCAGGAGCAAACAAACTCCTTGCAATTCTCAGGCAGGAGAACATTTGGTCAGGCAAAAAAACCCACCCAAGGAGTATTATATACTTTTTGAACACCTGAATCCCTGCCATTCCCTCTAGGTGGCACATTTCTGCATGTTTTTCTTGCGTCGCATTTAACTCATTTGAACTATCACAAGTCGTTATAATAGAGGTGTATCTTACATTAGAATGCAGAAGAAATTCATAAGAGAGATGAAACTATCCAAGCAGATTTAAGGGAGAAGAGGCAGAAAAAGGGATAGAGGGAAAAGGACTAGGGTGTAGAAGTCAAAGCAAATTTTGGAGAAATTCTCTTGTCTCTTAAGAGAACTTTTGTTGTAATAATAATATAAAGATAACATATTAATGTATTCCATCCATGAACTTCAGTACTGGAGGATACACAGACACAGAGGAGTTAACTGGAAATGGAATGGCACTGTTAAACACCAAGCTCCTTGCTAAGAACGTTCTGGGTCTGGCAAGGTGAACAGCATAGCTGTAATAACTGGAGGATGATCCCTGAGGCAGGGGAGCTGAAGCGAAGGGATCTGGTTTTGTTAGAAAGCCAGCCTGACAAACTGATAAGAGGACACAGAGACAGCGGCAGGGTGTAGGAGCTGCGGGCTTGCTTGCTCCCTCCCAGTCAAGGGATTCCATCTGCTTGGGTCAAGCAAGGTTTGCTCCTAGAAAGGAGAAGCCCAAGATTCAGGATCAGAGGGATCTGGGTTATAACAACAAAGGAGGCCTGGCTGTTCTTTGTCTGCTGACAATCAGTTTTGTTTTAGAAGACTGAATTGTGTCACTGCATATGCTTTCTGATAACGAGGGAGAAACCTCCTGTAAGCTACTAGATAAGATTGACCCTGCAGGAAGAGCTGCAATATAAGACCCATCTGCTGAAGCTTATGGAGTCAGCTTGAAGCTGGCAGGTTTGCAGGGTCTTTCACTAAGCAAACTACAGGAAAGGATGCACTGCAAGCAGCAGCACACAAGGTATAGCCTGCTTGATGACCTGTGTCAAAACTAGAGGAGCAGCATGTCCCAGGTTTTGTGGTGGTGAGACCTCCCATTAATATATACTCCTGACCTCAATTTTCAAAGTGATCAGCTTCTTACAGATGCAAGCTTTCTTCCCCCCAAATACAGTTGGTTGGAGTGGTCTGCTCAAGAGCAAAAAAGGTGAAAAACCTCTGTCCTGCCACCATTACTGTTAACTTAAAACCTGAAGCTTGCCCTCAGCATCTGTAACAGTCAGAAGTGAAGGCAACAAATTTGGACAACAAATGCTGGAAGACAGGCTCCATAACATACAGCTCACATCTCACAGCATTCGTGGTTCCCAGTTTGCATGGTACTGTTTTCATTTTTGCAACACTTAGGGGTTAAACTTCTGTTTTTGATTAAGGACCCCAACCTTCCCCCCCCCAGCTGAGTTGGTTGAAACCAACTGAGCATTAGTGTATCTGTACAGCGTCTGCAGGTCAAATGGGCTCCTAATCCAGATAATCCACCCAGTGTGATTGGTTACAGTTCTGTAGAAATCCTTTAATTTTCATTCTCTTGCCACTGTTGACAGTCAGGGTTTTGCTGACAAATTAGCAGCAAGGTAATGGATATAGGTGGATTAAAATACCTTGTTTTGCATGTGGCAGCATCAGACTGCCAAAAACAAATGCATGTTAAGAAACCAGGAAATCTACCGTTATTAAAACAGGACAGTTGTTTCTTTGAAAATGACATCTTAGAGCTGCAGCACAGAGGTGAAAGCATGATGCAGAAGAGGAATACTTTGGTCCAAAACACAGATGCTTCCTCTCCAGCTTTTGGAGATCTAACCCCCCCCTGCCTCACAGACCAGCCCCATGCCTTCCCTTCACAGCCTCTGCAAGACACACACCGACTTGCTGCCTGGCCAAGGCAGTTGACTGAAGTACCCACATGACAACCCTGGGCAGTGCAAAGCTTACCCAGGCCTCCCCCACAACCTGACTGGATTGCTTCCCTGTCTTGACATGACAGTTTGCCATGAAACCAAAAAACCCTGAGAAGCAGGCCCTGAAAGGCTACTTCCCAATGCCAGAGATGGAGAGTGCTACCTTTGCAACAGAAGGAAGACCACTGACCACTGGCAGCAAGGGTGATCACCAGCCTGCTGACCCAAACGCGGGGGGAATTCAAGTTGGGGAACAGAAAACAAATTATTTCCTTCTCTACAGTAGTGAGCATGAAACTACTTTAAGAACAAAATAAAGATGACACTCAAAACTACTCCACAAGACTCTGGTCAGCGGCTTACTGAATTTTTACAGTAGGGACCATAGGAAGCAGTAACAAACAGACCGTGTTTGCTCCCTCTCTCAAGAGTGGGATGCAGTCTTCCTTTGGGCTAAAGCCTTTCAGGCTGACAAACTCCCTGCTGACACTTTCCTGTTGGCCAGCCCCAACAGTTTCTTAAACAGAGGCACAAACAACAATAAATCTTGCCCTCCGTCCAAAATCCTGACACTTGCCTGGGTGGTAGAGGGAGATGGCTGTCAGGAGGAGCCAGGGCGAGCACGAGGAGCTTTCAATTAAGCAGCTTTACAAACTGAGCTACAGCAAGGAGAAATGAAGAGCCGTAAAGAAGAGAACTGACCAAAAAGGTTAATTCAGTCTACTGGGCTCCTGCAACTCTTTTCCTTGATGTTTTTCTGAGAGCTGTGCAGGGAATTAGCTGCTCTATGAAGGAAGAATACTTTCGTGAAGCAAGAAGACTGTTTATGTTTAAAGCCATGGGTAGTACTCGTTAAGGTCTAGTCAGCACAGCTTTATTGTGCTCTTTGGGTTGGGTAATTATACTGCATTTCCAACAGGCTGAAATGCATTTGCCACAACAGGGTATTCTGGGGCCCAAGTCCCTGTGCTTGACATGGTAAACTGCTGCATGCAAAAGGTGGAGAAGTTAAAAACGGTGCAGAAAATATGGAAAAAGGAAGATGGTAAGGGAAGGGGAAAGTGAAAGAAACATGAGGAGAGCAGGAGAAGAGCACCTAAGTCAAAGAAAATGATAATGAAATTGCCCTGTCTTACATGGGAGGTCAGGAGCTCCAGTTTCAGTCAAGATGTTCTGCAAGTGTAATAGGGAAAACTGGTGTTAAAAAAGGCAGCGAGGAGGGGTGGCTCAGAGGAACACAGCTGGTTCATGAAAAGAGTTAAGAGCATTCAGGTCTTCCTCACCTTAAAAAAACCCCAAACCTTTGCTGGTTTAAGCACAGAGATATAGTTCTTAGCTACTGTTATAGTTACACTGATGGAATTTCTTGGAGACTCTACACACCTTATGAAGAGCTTATGCCTGTCTTAGTTTGAGGACTATTCTCAAAAAAAGTGCAAAAGTTCTTAGAGAATAAGAGCAGAAAGGAAATGAGACAAACAAACTTAAAGGGAACTATTTTATCCCATGTAATCATTAGAAGGCAAAAGAAACCTTATTTGGAAGGACTCATGAAAGACTACTCTCATTTCAATGTAACAATATCTAGAGTTGCAGTAGTAAATAACACACTTGAGAAAACTTTTGGAGGGAAGTCCCTTCTGTGCTTTTGGAAATGGGGGGAGGCAGGGTAAGGAGGACAATAGATCCGTTTCTTATTACTAAGAGTTGGGGGCGGAGGGGGTGCCAATGCACACACCATCCTGGAAATGCAATATCTCGTATCAGTTTGCTCATTTAAGGCATCACCTTACACTGTTACCTGGTCAATACTGAGCCGTAGGACCAAGGAGACTGGACTTCAACCCACGGATTAAGAAGTTTTGTTTTTTCCATGCAACATTTCAAAACCCAGTGTCCCCCACACATGCATTCAGTACCTCCCAAACCATTTGGGTTTCCTCCCCCTGCTGCCACATTCTTTTCCTGTGACTTCAGAAGTAACACTTTCAGCCCCAAAGTCCTTTTAAAATTCACCTCTTGTTCAACTATGGACAGTTTTGAATTCAGTGACAAACATGTTGGCTAGCAACTTGGCTACAGGAGAGAAAGAAAACCCCACGAAGAGGTGGAATGCAGGAACAAAGGTGGAGAACAAAAGCCCCCCCCTTCTCCCAATTTGTCTGCCCACATACCAAAGATCAAAAGAGCTTGAGAAGCCCATGCATAATCTACATACTTTGTGACCCTACTACAATCAAGTTCCCCGCAGGCACGGCTGCTGTGTATATATGCACACACTGTAAATACACAAGCGGGTCTGTGGACGTTTGCCAAGTCATTTGCTCCGTGTATTGAGTTTGCTTACTTTTAACAATGCTGAGGCCAAAGAAGTGAGGCTCTTTAATCTTCACTAAATCACAAACTTGCTGAAAGAGCTCCTGTCCAGTGGCTTTGACCTGAAAGAAACAACCAATCCAACATTACAGATCGCTTGCACACCTGGATGGAGCAATTCTACTTCACATTGGCCAGTATATTTTGAGGTACCACAGCAAAAACAAAACAAAACCAACCCTGAAACAGCCAAACAAACCCCCAAGTTCTCCCAAAACAACCAAACAGCCCCAAAACAGAGCAAGGTTTGTTTTCAGTATTACTACTGTTATCACAGAATAATAAGCAATGTGTCATCCCCCTTCCTTCACAGTGCAGCGTTGCTCACTTCAGTAAGATGAATTTAAAAGGTTTCCTACCTATTGGCATCTCTGTGTAAGAATCTGGAGCGCTGCTGGAGCCCTGGTTTTGTTCAGTACTGACCAGGCTATTTATAGGTGCTCTTACAAAAATGTGCTTGTAATTACAAAAATGAAAATACGATTTTCTTGCAGAAATTTTATTTTAAGAAAGAGAGGTTAAGAGCAAACAAAACCAGAAGGCTTTTATTCAGGAGAACTAAAAACAAAAGTACAAAACTAAACTCATAACTGCATGGTTTGAGAGCAGAAACAGGTCACGGGTTAGAGATGAGGTTGCTCGGTACCCCCACAGAAGAGCTTGTTCTGTCCCCTGCTGACTCCTGGTCACACAGCAATTAACATCTTCATCTTCTGAAGCTGCCACCAACAGCCAATAAGCTCTTTCCTATTTCCATGAGACACAGAGGCCTTCCAGTACTCTTGCTTCCCCTAACATTGTGCATGCTCTGAGGAAGCACTGGGAAAAGCAGAGCTGCCAGCATACCCTCCTGCATGGGATCAGAGGCTGGGGAGAATTTGCAAGCATTGTAAAGGGCAAGACAGCATCATAATACTGTGGCCCAGATACTGAATGCACCACTAGCAAGGTGCCTCAGAGTACAGACTCCCCCAGTAAGAATGTGATGCTAGCTACCTGCATATGCAAGCATGGATGCGTACTATGAATGCAAGATTCCTCCACTAAATGCTCCCCACCTACCGCCTCATTTCCTCCTGCCCCATTGCACCACCCCAGAAGCACAGACAGATAACCACAGGCACAATCAAAACCCCTCAGAGACACTGGGGGAAGCAGCAAGAGCAGATGGGGAAAATAGTACAAAGCTGACACAGACAAGATCAGCTCCGTACAGGGTGCAGCCAGCTGCAGACATGAAATGGGCCAGAAGCTCTGAATTTCACTGCATTGCTGCTGGATGATGCAATTAGCAGCAGCAGAAGCAGCCTTCCCGAGGGGACACAGTGCAGCACTACCTTCACAGCAGCAAAGATAACTGGGCAGAAGCCAACTGCTGAACTCTCCTATAAACTAATCAGCACCAACAACTAACTGCCACTGCAATTCTTCAAACCCTTTTAGTGCCACACTCCCCAGAACCTGGCTGCACTCCCCTCCCTGCCCCAGGCTGCACCATGTCAGTAGACATGGACAATGGGAACAGGAGGTCATTTAATTACTCATTTTCTTCAAGCATCACTAGCCAAACACTCACTACTGTTTTATTGGGAGCTTTGAAACCTGTGCTACACCCATACATACACGCATGTGCATGTATGTGCTTTGGGAAGAAAGGAGGTGATACACAGTTCTGGTAAGACCCAAAACCACAGCCAGGTCTTAATATGGGTCTCTGTGTGAGACTGCACCCTTACAGTCTCTCAACTAAATGCAGTTATTTACTCAGCTGCCAGGAAAACACAGTTGGAAGGGAAAGTTAGGCACAGATTGACCTCCTTCCTGAAGGAAGCTCTAAGCATGCTCTCCTACCTGGGAAGGACTCACTCAGGAAGAGGTGACCTGCCCCTAGCCAGAATGGTGACATGAGTCACTAGCAGCACAGGACTTTATGGAAAAGCTGAAATCAGATGAATTTTGTAAGTGGCACACTTTCACACCTAAGGGAAGAAAAACCTGCTTTAAGACTTAGTTCCAGGGAACTGAGCACTTCAGTGTTTTGTGACACTCTAAAGTATCGACTTAATCATATTTCTTGCACAGCAGGTATGTGAACTACCACTTTGTCCATTCTCCTTTTGGCACTTCCCTTTTGTATCAAGTTTTACTCCCAGCCTTCAAGGCTATGCAATACCAGAGACACTTGCAATGGCTGTTCCCTGCTCCTGCCTCCCCCTCTGCTCAAAACAACCAACATTTCCCTTTTCATTTTTAATCCCTGCACTTCTCTTTGGCCTTTCCTCCCTTTGCATATGGTTCCTGTGCCAAGCTCCATCCCAGACACGCCATGAATCATTCCTTCCACTGAGCCTCAGCTTTGCCCTACATCAGACTCAGGGCTTCTTTACACATGGAATTTAGTCCAAAGTGAAGTCGAGTGCAAGCTTACAGAAGGTACTGCTACTCCAGGGTCATTCTATGTGCAAATATTCACATGTATTGGTTACCCATCTCTATTTTAACTCAATCCATACGCTTTAAAACATCAGCTCTCCTGCTCACAGAGCAACTGAAAAGACTCGAGACCTATACTTGCCATTCACCAACACACAGAATCTCCACATAGGACTTCCTCCCTGCAGAAATTCCTGCTCATGCTCCCACTCTTTCTCCAGATTCTAGGCAAGGAGCATCATCTGCCGTGGCTTCTTCCGAGACCTAAACACAGGTAGGGTGGCTGCCTGCCCCGCTACCCTCCTTGGCAGCCAGACCTTCCCTAGCATAGGGATCTTTCCTTTATTCAGGTGCTACCAGCCCAGAAAAGTTTTAGAAACCTAGTTGATCAACAGGTTCAACACCACCAGGGAGAGAAGCCACAATGCTGGCAGACAAAAAAAACTGAGCAAACTGGATACCACTCCGAGATCTCTGGTGCAAGCAATACAATTTTTAGTTACCCCATTCTCACTCAAAGCCCACTTAAGCTCTCTTGTGTTCATACTCCACCTCCCAGCTTGGGCTGCCTGGAGCAAGGCAGATGGCTTTGCTCTATGCTCAGAGGTCCACGCTCCCCCTTTGCCTCACTGTCCTCATGGCAGCTGGTGGAGCTGCAGCTCCCACTAGTTCTCCTCATGCTCACAGCTGGGTCCTGGAAAGATAACCTTCCTCCTCACCATACCCTCAAATTCACATATACATACAGAAAGGTGGACACTAAAGTTAATGAAGAGATACCCAATTACAAGGGAAGAGACTTTAAAATGCCTTCTGCTGTTCCCTCTTCAACAGCACTATCTGTGAAGGACATAAACCAAATCCATTTTAAAGAGCAGGATTCAATCTACATGTGACTACATAAAACATATAGGTAAACTCTTATCTGGAAGGGTGGAATTTATATGGGAGGGAGGAGAAAGGAATTACCTGCATAAACACTGTGCTTATCATGGGAAGGATCTATAGTTTATTCTGCTGCAAGGATAACCATTCCTACCTACCTCACCGAGCTGCAAGCTTGTTTAGTATTTGCATTCCACACTGAAGAAGTTAAAAGGCTTTGAAAATCATAAGTAGTGGCATTATTATTCTAATAAATGCACAAAGTATCATCTGCGGTTGTACTAATTGAATTTGAGTTCAACATCACTAGAAAATTGCATTGATGTTCCTTTTAAAAATATATATAGATCTCCAGCTGTGAAACCTTATTTTTTGTTTCTGTTTTGAAGGGGTGTTGTGGTAAAGACAAGCTAAATGAAAAGCTGGTTTTGGTGACTTGCCCAGCTTTAACAGGTCATGTTTCACCCTCTATGCAATTAGGACACAACTGCGCATTAAGGTCTCATGTTTAGGCCCAGGCAGCTATTCCGTTTCACACAAAAGCATCTCCACATATATATTTTCTCCAGTTTTCCAGCCACCAAAGCAAGAAGCAGCAGAAGCAAGGAGGGGCAATGTCTTTAGAATCATAGAATAGTTTGGGTTGGAAGGCACGTTTAAAGGTCATATAGTTCAACCCAGCTGTGATGAGCAGGGACATCTTCAACTCAAGATCAGGTTTGCTCAGAACCATGAAAAAGAAGGCTGCTGGGAGCTGCTGTGACAGGGACACCCCTGTGGGACAAGGCAGCGATGCTGAAGGCACCCCAACTCTTTGGAGGGGCAGCAGGCAGGACATGGCACCTTCCTTCTGTCTTTGCCAGCACTCAATGCAAAGGTCCATTTCTTATGCTTATTAAATACCCTGGAGGTATTTAAAAGACATATAGATGTGGAACTTAGGGACATAGTTTAGTGGTGGACTTGGAAGTGTTCGGTTTATGGCTGGATTGAATCTAAAGGGTCTTTTCCAACCTAAATGATTCTATGATTTTAGGATAAACTGCAGGTATCCAGGGTTTATTGTAGGGTCTAAAAACTGCCTGAACTGAATATGGTGGAGTGTGACCCAGCAGTGGAGGAACAGCCATGTGCCCAGGAAGGAGCAGTGACAGCACCAGCCCTGTTGGTACACTGCCCTGCTGCACACCAGCCTGCACTTTCCTCACGACAGAGTGGCCTCCACTGTCTCAGATCTTCATTCTCCCTGACAAAAGCTATAAGAAGGTGAGATTTAGGGTCAGCTGCAACAGACCATTCCCAGGCCTGTGCACCTGCCACCAAGAACTTAATTAAATTGTCCTTCTGAGGCTTGCACAAAAGCCAACAGATTGCAAAACCCCTCTGGGGCAGTAGCCGGGCTGGGTTTGAACAGGTAACCTAGAAGCAGAGTGCCCCAGATTTTGCTGTTAAAGCCCTATTACATCCAGCCTTGGTGGCTGTTTCAGTTAATGATGCCACACAGGCACAGCAGGTAGGAAAATTTCTACACGGATTTTGAAGATTACCATACGTAGTTTCAAAAGCCACCATCTCAAATCAAGTGCTTGAAATAACAGTTCACCTCAACTGTCTTTTCCCCATCCCCATCCCCATCCCCGAGGGGGGGAGAACCCACCCAAAACAAAGCAAAACCTTCCCAGCCCACACGAGTGCATGTACACACAAAAGAGTGCTTATCTTTAAGACTGGCTTGTTTTCTGAATGTGAAGTGCCTCTGTCAGCTCAGTTTCTCACAAGTTCAAGGAGCAGCCGGCATTGCACAAAGAGGCACCGTGCCCTGGTGGACACTGTGCCACGCTGGGCTGCCAGCTGACCTGGCTCTGCTGTCACTCATGCACACACTCTTGGGCATTTGAAGTGGTGATCAAAGGAATGAAGTGACTTGCCTCTAGTTTTTGTGTGTACACATACTCAAAGAATGAAGAAAACCCCACCTGCAATGGCTGTTTGCCTTAAGACTCCGAAGGGATCTGCAGACTATCAAAACCAGAAATAGCTAAAAGTCAGAGCAAATGGTCATGTGTTGGGTACAGCTGCCAAGTCATCAAGGCATTTCAGGCTCAGCCTTTAAAAACTGCTAGATTATTAGCAGTGACAAAAAGACTGAGAGAGAATAAAAAAAGAGCAGAGGGGACCCTCTGTCCAAAACCACCAGAGACTTTTAAGGAACTCTGCAAATGAGTTGAAGCTGCCCAATAGAAAATGGAGCACCAATTACCCTAAGCTGGCTAATAGCCTTTTGGTCAGCAGACCCACACCAGGCTCTTGGGAGAACAATGGGAGCTAACAAAACTGAACCACAGCCCTAAAGCAGAGACCTCCCATCCTCCCTCCAGCCACTCACCCCAACGATGAGGCTGAGCTGCTCGCGGGTGGGCAGGAACACACAGACGCTGCGGCTCTCTGGCTGCATCCTGCCTGCCAGCAGCACCCGGCTCATGGTGGGCAGCTCTGCAGGGACAGGGTCTCTTCTCTGGGCAGGTGTCAGGCTCAGTTCATCCCACGCACCTGTAGAGAAGGTGAGAGCATCAGTGCCATGCTCCAGCCAGCACTGGAAGCAGCCCATGGCATGCATTTGATGAGAGGTTTTCCTCCTTGCTGTTTAAAACAGAACAATAAACAAACCACACATGTTTTACAGTGCCACTGTCAATGTTTCCACCAGCAACACAGCACAAATTGGGAAGAATCAACCTTTAAATAGCTTGTGAGTCCTAAAGAGTGCCATAAAGCAATAAGATCTCCCTAAAATAACAACCAGACTCAAGATTTTCAGACATACTAAGTGATAAGGGAGATGACACCATGGACTGCTCCCCAGAAATGCCCACAAGAGAGGGAGGAGTGCCTGTCTTTCAGCCAAGTACCTCACTCTCACCCAAAGCAGATATGCCAATGAGCCATCCAGCAGGCATGTGTCAGTGCACAAGACTTCATCTGAGCTGCTTTCTCCCTGACCTCACCCCTAGTCCTTAGGGTGAGGTCACTCACTCCCACAAATGCTCTGTACCTCAAGGTGGAAATGCATCAACCCACAAGGCTGAGCTGCTGCATCATACTTTTTGTGAGTTAAGCACTGCCAGCCTCCTTCCTAAGGCTGATCCCAAGCTACACAGGCCTCTTTGGAGCTTAAGTTATGGTAACAACAGAAATAAGAGACAGAAATTCAGCTCATATGCAGAAGCGCAGTAGACATCATCTTCATGTTATAGCTAGGCTAGACACAGTTCCCCCAGCTATTTGTGACATTTTACAGCCCTCTTTGCTCTGATGCTCTCCAGAGCAAGGAAGGATCCTCCAGGCCCTGAGGAATCCATCAGGAAGGGGAGAAGTTCCTTGAGGGCAATTTAGGTATGAACACCAACAGACACCTGAACCAGCAAGATACCAACCAGTTATGGGGTCCACATCATCCTTGTACAAGATGTAATGCAAGTCAAACCCTGGCTGCCCCAAAGTCACCCTGGCATGACTCCCTTCCACCAGCAACAGCTAGACACTCATAACCAGGTGCTGCCAGCTGATGCCTGCCTGCAAAGCCCCCCAAAATTGGATTTACCCCTCTCCCTTCAGTTCTGCACTCAAGCATTTTATTTTTTCTTCATCAAATGCAAGAAAGAGATCTACAAGTGTCCTTTTGCAAGTTCAAAAGCTGTTCTGTGCATCTCCTTCCCTGAGCTGGCATATATAATGCTTCCCAATAAAGCATTTTGATACAATTTCTTTATGCAGAGCACCTCTTATGAGGCAAGTGCATAAAAATTGCATTTACTGTAGTAATGAAAAGAAGGGGTTCATAAAGGCTGCTATTATTAACTTTTTTCAAAAACAATATAAACAAGAATGAGGAGTTTTAAAAAGGATATTACTCTAAATTATTAGCAAGTGGGAAAAAACACATTTGATTCCCTGAGAAAGATAAGAGGTTCTATTAAATATTAAAACTCTGATTTATCCTCTCTTATTGATATAATTATACTGATGAGCCCTCTTGAGCTCCAGGCTACACACTACTAACAGTTGTGTATAAATTACAGATGTCTACTGAATGACTCAAGGGCAATAGATCACCATCATTATTGCCAGCTGATGTCATACACACTATAAACTTTATCAGCAGCATAAAGGCCTCAGAGTATGATCTCAAGCGTTCCAGTGTAAGGAGGCTTGTCAAACTGTTGCACTGGCCTGTCTATATTCCCACTCACACGACGAGATCATGACCTGCAAAGATATTAATTTGGCTTTTAACAGAACTGAAAATAGAAGGAAGAAGTGACCATTAAAAACACAGCCACAGAAAAGTCTGTGCACAACCGGAGAAGAAGAATCCCACTTCCCCATAGCCTCTATAAAACAAAGCTCCTGGAAAGCTTTTTCTCTGGTCTCACACCTGCTTTGTCCATTTGGATTTTTACGAGAACAAGTGTGGACCCTGGGAGAAAGGAAATGAGAAAGGAAGGGGAGAAAGTGTTGTTCTCCCTATGTTTTTAAACCAATGATCTTGTGGACCCAGCCACGGCAGGTAAGAGGTTAAAGAGGCAACATCCTTAATCTGAAGGGGGAGGTCAAACACAAGCCCAGCTCAGCCTTCTCCAGAGGTATGTTAGGATGTGATAAACCATAGTGAATCATTAACTTGCTAGCATTACATGTTTACACCTTTAAAGAGAAAAAAGTTGTGAGCCAGGAGTAGCTGCCCAAGGAAAACAAGTGGCCAGAAGGAATGCTCTTACTTAAACATACACAATTTCAGACTGCCCATATGCCATTCTTTTGTTTACCACAGATTCCAACCTCTTAACCTCAATTAAACCCTGAAAGCTTCAGCAAATGCACTGCAGGTGAATTAATAAAAGCTGAAGTCAATCACTGGCCTCTGAGACACCCTACAAGGTGTTTGGGTTTGTTGGTGGTTTTTTTGTTTGGTTGGTTTTGGTTGCTTTTTTATTATTATTTCATTTATTTAGAAATAATATCACAGCATGTTTTAGCTCCTCTATAGTGCATTTCGAGATGTAATTGCTTGGTCAAAGGCCCAGAAGTCTATCAATGAAACAGTCAAAGGCACTATTTATTTGTATTCTTCTGGTACCCTTCAGGAAGCTTGTTAGTGCCAAGAGAGGTGTCAACTTATTTAACACTGTTTATTTTACCTGAACACATGTACAGTGGAGCTTTGGAAAACACACCTGTCATTAATTTCAAGGCTCTTCCAATTAAACAGTTCTTACATGGCTGCAAAATCTCATTAAGAAACACCCTAATCATCCCCTCTTCTCTCTTACTGCCCCCTTTAAGCTGCCTTCCAGCACTGGGCCAGAACCTCAGCACTTCCTGGGTCCAAGGAGGAATGGTTGAGGTTTTCCCCAGCAAGAGGGATAAGAGTGATAGAGACATGGAGGATGAGTAAGGAGACTGTTTGCTTTGGATTTCAGTGGAACAGCTGACTAAACCACCTCACACAGCCCATATACACAATGGCACAAGGATGACCTGCCACCACTGAATTTGGGGACCTAGAGCAGCCACAGCCTGTCTGGAAGCAGTTCCCATCTAAACAGAACATGTCCTACTGTATTTTACACAACAGTTCATGGGACCACAGTGAATTGGGTCCCGATTCTGATTTCAGCCTCTAGATACTGCTACAACCACATCTCAAGGGGACAACGCAGTCACCTACCAACTCAAAGCAGAAAAACAGAATTAAGTCCTCTTCTGTTGAGAGAAAAGCACAGGTAATTCCATGCTTCTTGGGAACACCTGGAAACATGCTTTGTAAGGTTTATTACAGTAAAAACAACTTGGGAAAGCTGGTTTTGCTAGAGCTAACAGAAAGTGAGCATTGAGCATCTTCCTGATGAAACCCTACCAGAGTGACCCTATGAAGTCCCATAAAAAATGTCTAGAAACATTAAGACTCTTCTGAACATTTTCCAGACATTATCCAGAGCTGTCTTCGGCTTCTAAGACAACCAGACTCGTAGACTGCAGTTTCACAATCAGCTTAAGCAGCTTTAATCAAGGCAGTCCTGCAGCAAGACAGACACACAACTGCCTGGAAACAAATCTGTCTTTGCCAGCAACCCACACTTGGGCTGCCTCATAGTCATGATGAAACACAGCCTTAAAACTGAGAACCCCCCTCACCTTCCTAGTATTTCATCTCTTTAGAGGCATAATGTATGGCACCTGCAGAACAGTAATAAAGAGCTCAAGTGAGTGAAAGATGTAATGATGGCATGCATTAACTATTCCCAGCAACCTTAACACCCCACCTAGCTCCTTTGACTATCACCCGAGATGATGAAAACTTCTCCAGAAGGATGCATCAATCAGGAGGGAGAGAAAAAAGGTTGCTTGTCAGGCTGGAAAAGAAGACTGAAGCTAAACAGCTTTGTGTCACAGCTGAAGATGATATGAAAAGTGCCACCTACAACCAACAGCCAGGACAACTAGGCTGTGCCCTGCAGCAAATTCCCAGAAGCACATTGACTTTTCAAATGCATCTGCCTCAGTATCACTTCAGGGCCAGCATGACACATCCAAGGCCACGGATGCCATAAGGAGGTAATGTGCTGAATTTTGTGTGCACACACTGCTTTTAGGGTAGACTACACACTTGCCTTCAAACACTGAGCACTAAGTAGGAAGTCTCTATTCAAAGCCATTCATTGAAGAATACTGAGATACCTCCCAGTTACTTGCGTGCTCTGAAGGACTATATCCCAAACAAATGCAGCTTGGCTACAGGACAGATGCAACACTGGCAGCAAAGACAAATATCTTTCAGTCCACAGTATGGGAGATACAACTGCAGTAGGCCGCCTGCATCTGCAAGCAACACTGGTTAGATCTGAGTGCAGTCCTCTCGCAGGAATGGGATGTATGCCTGGCTCCCACCTTTCCTTTAGGATTTTCAAAAGGTACTACGCAAGATGTTTCCATATACTCCAGCACTGCGGAGCCCTAGCAGGCTTAGCCATCACCCTGTACCTTTTGAGACATATGGAGAAACCACTGAGCATTGGTCTTGGATACTAACCATCATACGGAGAAACCACTGAGCATTGCTCTTTGGATACCAACCATCATCCTTTTTCCCTTCTTCTTGTACAAGCAGCACACCCTGGTGACACAGAGCTTTAACAATAGAGAGGAAAATGCTCTCTCGTTAGTCTTCATTGCTGGATTAGACACAGCTCTTAGTGAGGCATGACCACCCACACCTTTGTGCTGTGAAGTTTTCCTGCCTCATGTCAAGCAGCATAAGTGACTACTGGAACACAAAACACGTTCTTGAGTTTGTAACTCTTCTGCTCTGCACCCCTACAACATGGTCAGTATGCTCAGGAAGAAGGGATCTCCCAAAATTCGCAGGGACATCCATTCCTAACCTGGGACTCTGCTGCTATGCTACTTTGTAGGCTGCACCAGTCCTTAAACTCAAAGACAGGGGACAACTTTCCTACCCGGGGTTGGGTGTGTTCTCTGGTAGTCATGTAAAAGTGACTCTCACTTCTGGACACACATCAGACCTTACTGCTGCTAACTAGTCTTCGAAGAGAGGAAGAAGGCTTAGCTGGGAACAGAGCACCAAAGGAGGTGCTCCTACAGCACATGGAAGCACAACAGCAGGGCAGTGGTGGCAGGACTATGCAGGGTGGCTGCCACACTTGTACCCAGCTCTCCCATGGGATGAACAAAGCTCCTCAGCAGTTTACTCCCTGTGAGGAGAGCCTAGAATTAATCATCTGGGCTTAATCTTTCCCTGAAAGCAAAACTGAATCCAGAAGCCTTCTGAGAGAAACAGACAATGAGTATTAAAGGCTCCAGGCAAAAGGACAGAATAAGGATCTCACAGGGACTACGTCTTTCCATCACTGCTAAGTGATGGAAAGTACCTTCGAATTTTTGTACACAAAACCATGCAGCCTTTTAAAACATTTTTTTATCAGAAGCATATGTAAAACTTAGCAATATAAATGCTTTAAACAATACCCAAACAGTAAAGTCTGCAGTCAGAGCATGCAATTCCTTGCTAGCAAGCCCTTTTCCTGGGAGGACAAACATTCTCTTGCCAACATGGGAACAGTAACGGACCGACTGATCCTGCCTTTTCATTGATTGGTAAAAGTAGCAGCATGTACCCTATCATGCCTATCTACCAACATGAAGTTTCTCATTACAATGAATTTGTTTACTTCTGCATAATCTATTAATGGACTTGTTTATTATCGATTGCCAATTGTTTATAGGGCTTCCTCATAATTCATAAGCCAAGCATATTAAAGTTCATGAGTAAGTAGCAACCGAAGGTGTTGACTGGCCTAAGTAAATGAAGAAGCATTAAGAAAGAACCAGCAAAATATGGGACAAGGCATGAGCCAGCCTCAGTGTCCATTACACCTTGCATAAAGCAGCTGCAAAGGGAAGCCTGCTCACAAGTGCAAAGCTGTTTTCTCTCAGCTGGATGACCAAGACAGCATTGCACGAGAGCTTCCAAAGGTTAAGGGAAGTGAATTACTTGAATAGCCACACAGTAACACAAGCTTGCCTCCACTAAAACCCATAGACACATCTTTTCCAAGATGCCTACAGAAAGCTTATTCATGGGCATACATATACAGAGCCAGGAAATGCAACTGGAAACACATTCCTGTTTTTAAGTTTACCAAGGCTATAAACAGGATTTCATTGAATGGTTTGGGTTGGAAGTTACCTTAAAGACCATCTAGCTCCAAACCCCCTGCCATGGGCACAGACACTTTCCACTAGACCAGGCTGCTCAAAGCCCCATCCATCCCACCTGGCCTTGATTCTCCCAAGCAAATCTACTGTACTCTTGCCTTAAGCACAACAGCTGAGAGACACTACTGTCTTTGCAGAAGTTATTCCACAGCTGCACTGAATTGGGACAGATCACTAAGCCTTCTGAAATACCTCACAGAGCTACCCAAAAAAGTGTGAATAAACTCTTCCTTCATTTTCTGTTCTCACCAAGATCTTGTAACAGATCTATTAGTAAGCAGGCTATGAAGTCTTCATTAAGCAAAAAGGAAAGCATCATTATAGTCTCACAAGCAATACCTGGAGCTGCAGCACAAGTAAAAACAGACATGCTTTCACCAATATATCATGTAAAGAACTCTTCTGAGCAGGAGCAGCTTTGCTACCAGTAATAACCAGGTAAAAAAAAAGCAAACCAACTTGGCTTCCTTCCCCAGAGGAAGGAGAAAGTCCATTGCTGATCTCCCTCATCTGAATCACCATCTAAATATTCAGACCAATTAGGCAGCTTACATATCAGCTTGTTTCTACCTCTTTTCCTCCTGAAGTGTCCAGCTAGCCCTGATAATATTCAGAGCAGATAGGAATATTGATCTATGTAAAGTGGACAGGCATTCAGAAAGAATAAATAAAACTCCACCTGGAACACAGCTTGCCTCTATTACAAGTGTGAAAATGCCAGTCTGCTGATACCTTGACAAAATTAACACAAACACCAGGGTCTTTACGATTAGATGCAGCTTCAGAGACTGCAAGCAGTACTGCCAGGCATCAGCTTCAGCACAGCATCAGGGAAATGGGAAAACACAGCCCAAAGAAATAGAACAGAAAAACAAAACAAAATAAAATACAAAAACCAAAACCAAGAGTGCTGCATTTTCTGAAGTGATGCCAAATTCTGCAGAATGATGAGAGGGAACAAAAAAAAAAAAAAAACCAAGAAAAAAAAAGGAAGAAAAAAGGCAAGCATAAGGAATGGTTTAACAAGAAGCAAATTACTTCCTCCTGCAAATGTCCGAGGAGCAGCTCCTCCTTGTCAGAGAACTTCTCTTGGGCTGAAACCACCATTTGCCCATGCTCAGTTACTAACCACAAACCATGAATTAAGGTACCATTGATAAAAATCACTAAGATGAACAAGCAGCAGTGCAGGACAACCACTTTACTACAAAAGCTAACTAATGCAGTTAATCACTGGATTCAAAGACTTTTACCTGCAACGTTGGGAGCAGAAAAGTATGCTACAGCTTTAAAGCCCTATCGGCTTTGCTTTTCTTAACAAAAACAAAACAAAGACCACTTTAAAACCTACGAACACTCCCCCCTCCAAAATGAAATTACATAGTCCATACCTGTTATCAAAAAACTTCCTCTATCAAGAAAAGACTTAGAAACACACATGTAAATACAAATTATTTCAGGTGATGTAAGATGTTTTAGTTGAGGGAAAAAAAAAAAAAAGGTGACAAGTTTGACACTGCTGTTTATCTCAGTTTATCACTATACAAAATTCCACATAACAAAAAAATCTTTAGAGAAAAAAACCTGTCCAAAGAGCACAGACAATATTTTTGGTAAACCACTGAAAAATAAAAATCACTACACCTCATGGTCTCCAATAGTATTTTGTAGACTTATTTTTACTTACACTTGTCTTACTCTTCTATTTTTTTCCCTTTAAGGTAACCTCTGCAAGAAACCATTTTTTTTTTCCCCCCTTTTGGATTCCATTCTGTTCTGATTTGGCATTCCTCATGTGAAACCAAAACACCGGCTACTACATAAACTCCCAGCATCGCCAGTGATGAAAATAGGACACTGATTAAAAGTGCACAACACTTAAAAGGGAGGAATAAACAACCGAATAAGGCCAAGGCATTCTACTGCATGCCAAGTTTTTCCAGGAATAAAATAAAATAAAAATAGTAATAAAACCCATTATTTTATAATATTAAAAAATATACTAAAATATATTAAAAAAATATAAAAGCTGAACAAATGAATGGGACACCAATACATACATATCTGGGTTTTTTTCCTCCTTTTTCAACATCACTCCAGAGATCACAGGTGCTAGAAATACACCCTCATTATTTTCTCTGGGAAAGTGCCCTATGCTTTTGAAGTATTTATTGTGATGGCCTGTGCATCACAGCAGCTCTCTGGAGAAGGGACAAGGTTCAGACAGCACGTTGCAGTGGGGAAAAACAGATGTGCATTTTAAATGCCGCGGGGAAGTTAATCTGAGAGCCCGTCACTGCCGAGCAGGAGAAACATCTCTCGATGCAGAGGATGATGACTTCCTAGCACAGGAAACCCAGAACCTTTCCCTGTAAATCGTTACCAAGAAGAAACTTAAGAGGCGTAGAAACAACGAAGTATGGAGACTTTTTCCTTCTTGACACCCACCCCTTCTGCTGCTGGGACACTCCTTCCCTATCCTGTCCCATGCCGGCAGAAGGATGTCTGTCCTCACAGTCCGACCTGCCTCACAGGATGCCTCCAGAGTCCCAGATGGTCAGCTACTTGCCCCACACTGCTCACACTGCCTGAGGTGCTAAAGCATGTGGGGCAACCCGCACCCCACCAGGCCCGCAGCTGCCCTGAACCTTCCGACTATGGCCGTGTTACTCTCCATCAGCACCTGCTAGACAGGTACCAGCTATGTGGCTACTGGGAAGCGTCCTGACTTTGTGCCACGGGAGCCCTTTGGGACATAACCAGCTGCCTCAGGACGTGCCGGAGGTGTCACTCAGGGAACGTGCACAGGCATCACCTCATTGTCTAGCACCGGCGAGACCCACCGGTGGCAGAGGATGACGGCGGAGTTGCCACGACTCCAGAACCCCATTCCCTCCCGTTCCCAGCCGGTCCTGCCCACCCTGGCTGCCTCCAGGAGACCAACGTAGGTGCAGGAGGCACCCACCGCCTCATCCCTCCGCTCACCGCCGCTTTGACGGCAAAGTTCCCTGATGACATAGCAGCAACACGAGAAAAAGTGCGGCGCTCCCCCCGAAACTCAGACCTCCCTTTACCTACCAAGTTATAAACGTGCTCCTGCAGCGTGCAGCGCACGGGTACGCGGCCGGCTGCACGCTGGCGGGGAGCACCGAGCACACACCTCTCACCGAGCCCTCCCCTCCGCGGTGCAAAGGGCTCCCTCGCTCACCCCGGCAGGGGAGCGCAGCCGGGCGCTTCCCAGGTCTCCCCGTTCAAAGCAGCCTTACCCTCCTCCGAGGGGACCGCTCCCCACAGCCAGACGGGACAGGTGCCGGCGCCTTCCCCCCCCCGCACTTGGGACCCGTCCCCCGTCCTTTGTCCCCGGCAGCTCACCGGGGCCTCGCCTGCCCCACCCGCTGCCAGAGGAGCTGAGGCGGACACGCACTCACCGCGGGGCGGCCCCGTCCGCGGGTCTCCGCAGCGCTCTCCGGGGCAGCATCCAACACCCTCAGCGCAGAGCTGAGCCGAGTAAAGCAGTGGTGCGGGCGGGGTGCCCTGAGGGGGGACCGACGGCGGGGCGGGGCCAGGCGGGGAGAGACACGCCCCCAGCCCCGGGCCTGCCCCGCCCCTGCACTCCGACACCCGGGCTTCTCCCGCCTCCCCCCCTCCGCGCCGCCGCCTCAGCGGATTGGTAGAGCAGCGCAGCGGTGGGCGGGGCGGGTTGCAACATGGTCTCTGGTTGGCCAGCGCGGTGACAATCAGCGCCGCGGTCGGTCCTGAGGGAAGGGGAGCGGAATCGTTGCGGTCGGTAGCGGGTTCGGGTCCCAGTGGCCCTGCTGAGGGGAAAAAGGGGACGGCGGGACAGGCGATGTGTGTGTAGGGGAGACCCCAGCCGCTGCCTGCGGGGGCTGGCGCGGGTTTGCCCCGTTTGGGATCGATTTTATTTCTGGCAGGGTACTCCGTGCTCCGCGGTGGCAGCGATGAAGTTTCCGTAGGGCAGGTCACTCTGCATTAAGAGTGATGAAGGCAAAGCACGATCAGTTCTCCCCGGGCGCCCTGCCGTAACCGGGTTGGCCGCGCAGAATAAATAGTGCAACGTGTAAAGAGATGCTGTCGGAGAGTCGGGGTCAAATACGGAAACACGGAGTGCCTGGTGGGGTCCGGGAGCCTGGGTGTGCAGGAGGCAACGTGCCTGGGAAGGAGATACTGAAAATCTTCCTGCCTCCTTCCTCCTTCTGTGTTATGATTCACTTTTTAATGCGATTTTCCAAAAGAAGGCTAACATCATAGAATAGTTCGGGTTGCAAGGGTCCTTCAAAGGTCATCTAGTCCAACCCCTCTGCAATGAGGAGGGACATCTTAAACTAGATCAGGTTGCCCAGAACCACATCCAGCCTGGCCTTAAATATCTCCAGGGATGGTGCATCTGCCACCTTTGTGGGTATCATCTCATTTACTGTAGTGTAGCTCACTCTCCCTTGTAAGTAGACTGTTGCTTAATTTCCCCATGTACCCAGCTTGTTTAAAGGTACAGCCTGCAGGAGAGCTGGGATGGCAGCAAGCTGTAAGTCGAGCAGGTGGGAAGGCTTTTGTACAGTGTTGTGCTGCTCTGCAGAAAACAGATGAACTTTGCCCTGGGCACCTGGCAGGGTGAGGGAAGCAAGGCATCCCTCTCCTTCCTCCCAGATTATTCTGTGTTTCAGGTTGAGCATGAGACTGGATAAAATCTCAGTGTGGATGACAATTCTGCCTCTTCCCAGCTGGACTGTAATCGTGAGGCTCCTCGAGTGCAGGGGACACCTCGCCACCAACCCTTTCTCTTCCCACAATAGTCTTCTGAGGGAAAATATTGGCATCTTACTCATGATCTGAGGAAATGTGTAAGCACCACATTTCAGGAATAGTTCCAGGGCTGTGGATCCTCAGTGAACAGATGAAATCCCCACTGGCCAAGGTTAAGTCCTTCATGGCTTGTTCTTCTGTTATGCCTATGCTGATGTGTAGTACCATCTCCACATGCCAGATGTTTCTAATTCTGAGGTGCCTAACATGGGGTTTCATAGGCAGCTGAGCTGGCATGACAGCTCCCCTCTCTGTAGAAAGATGTCTGACTGTCTTCTTTTTACGTCTTCCCATCTTCAGTCTTCTGTCTCCTTTGCTCCCTTTGCTCATGCCTGTATCACCTTCCTTGTGACAGCACTGAAGGAAGCACTTCAGACTGCTGAACTGGTCAATCTCACTAAAGAGACAGAAAAGAGCAGCTTCTTTTTTTGCTGGAAGAGTGGTCTGTCATGTTGGTGAATTAGATTGTCCCACGGAGTGGTCCACTCAGTGCTGGAGTCAGTGTCTTGTAATATCACCACCAACATCTCCAGTGAGCCACTGGAATGGGTTGCCCAGGGAACTTGTGAATGCTCCATCCCTGGTGGTGTTCAAGGCCAGGTTGGACAGAGCCTTGGGTGGCATGGTTTAGTGTGAGGTGTTGGAACTAGATGATCTTAAGGTCCTTTCCAACTCTAACTATTCTATGATTCTATGACTTACTTTATAGCATGGATTGCAGGATTGAATGGGAATCAATCAGGCAGGGAATCTGGTGCCCAAGTTTAGGCTCTATTTTCAAACTTGTTCTTATTAAACCTGCCCAATACCACACATGTAGCCTGCAGCAGAGCCAGTTCACAGTAGGACTTTCTGTCATACCTTGACAGATAGTGGAGAGCTTGAAACGTCAGCAAACAGCTCTGAGCAGTTGCTGCATGCTTCTGGGTTTTGATCATTCGAAAATAAAATGTTATACTTGCTTACAAACTTCACTTGGGTTTCTGTGGCAGAGTCTTTTATCTATCACAGGAGCAAAGGGCTGCATCTAGGCTGTTGGGACTGTGATGTGCTTCGTGGCACCCCATGTTAACCTGCTGTTCTCATTCCCACCAGAATGCAGTATCGTACAGTATGTCAGGTATGACTACTTTAATTAGAAGTATAGGCATTATCTTGCATAGCTGGTCTCTTAGGGTTGGCAGATGTTGTGTGTGTCACCCTAGAGAAAACAAGCTGCATTTTGAGAAACATCAGAACTGTAGGAAAATGGAGATAGTGTTATCCTGTTTGTTTTTGAAGGAGACATCAAAGTGTTAGAGGCTGTAGATATCCGTGCTCAAGGAAATGCCACTGCACCTTTTCAAAGCATGAATTCCAGCTCTCCTTCTTGCAGTGCAGATAAGCCATTTCATCCAGCTTGCTCTGTGAAGTCTATGCTGGAGAGGGGGATTTGTGGAAGGGTTCTTATAAATCAGGGCCTTGATTCAGAAAATAGAGCTCCTTTTGTAAGCCTGTATCTCATGCAGTCGTGCTGAAGTCAGAGGGACCCAATGCAAAAGTAGAAGTTTGCATAAGCAGATGTCTGCTCATGGTCTTGGTCTATGTTGCATGTAGACAAAACAATCTCCCAGTGCAAAAGGGAAAGCTGAGGTTTGCTTTCACAATCTTGGAAACATACCCCTTTCCTTTTTTACCACAATTTTAGCAATGAATATAGGGGTTAATTTTGTTGCTACTATTTATTATCTAGCTCACAAACAGCACCTAAACTTGGAAAGAAATGGATTGTAAGAGTCTAGAAACAAAAGGAGTTCTCACTAATGATCTCGGGGAGCTGAAGCTGGCTTCAAGCTGTTCAAGTCATGAGAGGATGACTCAGAAGTCAGAAATTTGAGGCATTCTTATGTCCAGCATTTAATCAACAGGCAAAGTGTTGGGAGGTAAGCAGAGGAAATCAATGGCAAATCAAAGAAGAATAGGTCAGCTATTCATTAGAGAAAGGATTGATCTTGAGGATATTAACAGAAAGGAGAGCATGAAATGAATCCTAAAAAAGTTTGAAGTAGCTGTGGCTGCAGTGAGATGACAGTCAGGGAGCCTTAAAGAAAAATTACTTTTCTGACTTGCATGAAAAAGATTATTTGCAGAACTCTGTGTTCTCAGTTTAAACCGGTCAGATTTAACTAGCTGCACACATTACAGACACCTTCCAACCATAATGCAGCTCTTGCAGGAGTAATAATTCTTTGCATATATTCATTGTGAATACAGTCATCATAGGCATTACACATGAAATGATGATAATAATCTGCTTTCTGTTAGCATACATGCTGAAGCCAAACCTTATTTTGTGATGTTTTCAAACATGTTAGAGCTTGAGTATGGTGTCTCTTTCCTTATTCCTAGAAAATCACCGATAGCTCCAGTGGGACTATTAATGATTAGCATGTTGCAAAATCGGGTTTAGTTTTGAGACAGGGGTTTGGTGTTTTTTTTTTTCCACTGGTAAAATATGAAATTTTTCTACAATTGCGCACAAACAGTAAAAAATATTTGTAAAGTTGCAGGGTGGCTTAATTGCCAATAACATTATTAGTTATAAAACTAGTCTTTGTTATACCAAAAGCTGTGTACAAGGTATGGCTATAATTGGTGAGGTTTGAAATGACAGTTTACGTTAAATAAAAATCAAATGCTTGTTGCAATGATCATTGACCACACTACACTTCAAGTGAGGCCAAGGTACAGATTTGGAGCCATAAAACTGCTTGTGGGCCATTGAGGTATGGCTTGCGAGCCAGGGATGTGCCATGTGACTGTGCAGGCATAGGGGACATTGCAGTAATTCTACTGGGTCTGGTGCCTTATAGGCACTGCGTATTGGACCTTTCATCCCAGCGGATCCTGATGTGCTTCCTCCATCAGTTTTTTCATTTGCCGTTGAAAGAGAGGCACCCTCAGGTAGTAAGAGAATAGCTCTTTAACACTGCTTCATTGACAACCTTTGGAAACCACGTGAGGAGCCTGGGTAGGGAGAATGGATTCATAAATTAAATTTGGCCCTAAGGCACAGAGGCTGTAACTCTTGCCCTTGGCAGTCTCTGGGACTGCATTTATTAAATGGTCATGAGCTTCATTTCACTTCTAAAGTGAAACAGAGAAATAGAGCCTTTCAGTAACATTAAATCATTTAACATCATTATAGGCTCATGCTTTTCTTCTAACTCAGACCAAATTGCCAGGACCCTTTCTTTCAAGATTTCCTAACCCAAGCTCTAATCAAGCCCAAACCTGTATTCTTTACAGAGTCTTCTGAGATCACAGCTAGTGATGGTGTGGCCGCTGGCTATGGGGAGTTTAAAATCGCTTTCTCTCTCTGATAGGACCCGTTTGACATATATGTGCTTCTACAGGAGCTCTAGCAAGTTGGTATCTGTAGCTAAATACACACAAGGTGCATAAGCTGCTGGTGTAAGTCCCTTTCTGGGGACAGTTGGCAGCGTATTTAACCATATGCTGCAGTTTGATCTGTGAAGTTTTGGTTACTTTTTCGATGACTTTGAAACCACATCAGAGCTGTTAAAACCCTGCTTAGGGCTTC